ACTCTTGCTCCTCTCTCTCCATCCTTCGGTTTATTTCTCTCTCCCTCTTCATTCTTCCTTCTTCGTCTACTCTCTCTTACTCTCCTGGTCCCTTCCCGCTCTTTCTCTCCCTCATTTTCCATTACCACTCTCCCTCCCTTGCCCCCCCCCCCACCCACTCCCTCCCCACTCCTCCTCCAGCGCCCAGTGTGGTGGTGAGTGGCCCCCCTGGCGGTACTTCAACACCTCTTGACCATAAGCTCACGCCATCTATTGGCCAAACTTCTTACCACCACTCGCCGTCATAATTGGAAGGCTGACCAAGTTTTGTGCAGCAGCTCAACATTTACCACTTCACGTTGGCCGATGTGAAGAGTTCGCTTCCTGTTAAAAAGAGTTGAGATTTATTTTTGTGGTTTGTTATTCCCAGCGTGAATTAAAGTTGAAGATTACTATTTTTTTTAAGGTGGAAATGAGTTACGACGATGGCAGTGAATTATTTGAGGTTTATAATACACTTGAGTAGTTGGTGGTGTTGTCAGTTTGGTGGCTTGGCTTATGCTTGAGTATATTGAGGATAAAGCTTTCTCAGGAGTGATGAACAATCTAGCTGTTAGAACACAAGCAGTAACTGGTGGGAAAGTAGCTTACACTCCAAGAGGACCATATTGTTTTGAAATATTCTCTCATAGCATAGCATAGGGTTAGAGTATTGACGAACAAAAACAAACAGATTTTAGAAGTACAATTGATTTTTGGTCATAACACAGTAAGGTCAACATTATACAAGTGTAAAGAAAACTGTAAACAAGTTTTGATTATATCTTAAACCCAAACTACCCTGACTGACGTGTGACTGCCGAGTTGCGTTATGTCACATTGGGAAGGCAAAGTGGCCACACACGTTCACTTCCCTACACATAGACACTCATGCTCTTCATTATTCTTATTTTATAGTTTTAACTCATGTATATTATTTTTTTATTTATTTTTTAAGCCATATCGTTTATATAAATTGGAATAAATGTTAAGGAAGTCCGTTTTTCTGAGACGAATTGTAGGATTAATCGAGGTATTTTAAGAGTGAGATTCAACTAACCGGAAAATCACTTTATCCGGCACCTCTTAGTCTCCGATGGTGCTGAGTAATTAGGGTTCTACTGTACTTTTACTTTACCAAGGTACCATAGTGATTGATGTACTGTAACTTATACTTTACCAAGGTACCATAGTGATTGATGTACTTATTAATATACTGTTTACCTTTACCCCGGCGAAGACCATTGGAGGGTGGCATGTCGTGGTGAGAGACGGGTGTTGGGGCACTGGATAGTATAGATAATTTGGATGGAACGTGGAAATAGTGTGGATGGTATGGATGGAGAGTAGAGGATATGGGCAGGGTGGAAATGGATTGTGGAGGGGCGTGGTGATGGGTGAGGGAGCATAGTTTATGATGGGTGTGGTTGGGAGGGAGGGAGGGAAGGGTGTGCGCGGGCTTATCTACTATGTATGTTAATGTGCTCTTCATGTGATGGAAAAAAACATAAATTAATAATGTATATTTTGCCGTTATTCATGAACCTGTAGGAGGAAATAACTACTTCGCCAGCAGGATGACAACATTAGGAGTTTAATGGTGCTTATATACGAGATAGAAGAAGAGAGGAGGTAAGAAGGAAAAGGATACGACAAGAGTGAGAGGGACGGGGGAAAAGTGGAATGGGAGTGAAGGACGGGAGGTGGGAGAGGGGTGTAGTGAAGTACTGTATATTTGGAGGGTAAGTGGCAAGAGGAGTCGCCAGGTGGGAAGAATATTGTTGTACATGGAAAATTTATATAATCGGAATTTAGAAAGACATGGCAGGTACAACACATTATTTTTATTTATTTGTTTTAGTTAAATTGCTGTGCACTGAAAGATGTCAAAGGCCCACTTGTTAATGAGTGTAAAACTTTCACAGCTTAATTTTTTGCTCTAAGCATCTCAAAGCAAAAGAAAATAAATATATTTTAAGATGCAGTAAGAACATTTCCGCAAAGTCTAACTGAAATCAAGAGAATGAAGGGGAACTCCGTATTCTATGGGACCAGAGACAGGCAGTTGGAAATACTACACACACACACACTCACTCTTGTTGGCTGCCCCTCGCGTCTTGTGGGCAGTGCTGATGCTGATCACCATTTTGATTAGAGCAAACCAGCTTTTGCTGCCGCTTGAGACAAGGTGCAAGTTGAATTTGTTGCGTGTTGAACAGCCATTGCACCGTGTACACACCAACCATCATCTTGCTCATGCACCTGGCGGGATAATATAATGCATAATATATGTTCTCTGGACCTGCTGGCTGAGGAGCCAGTCTCCAGCACAGCCTCCCTCCCCCTCAAAGTGTCTGCGTGCGTGTATGTAAACAGTATATATTCACACATACATTCACTTCCTGGTCTACAATTACAGTCATTGTTGTGTATTACAGCTCTGTATCCATGTGCGAGTGTATGTGAATTGATTATTGGTCATTTTGTAGTATCACGCGTGTGTTTTAATTCTTTAATTTCGTGTACCGGGATGGCTGTAACTAGTTGTCAGCATTTCAATCAAGCTCTCTTGTTAATAACATAGATAAAAGAGTCCACGCTTAAGTTGGTGTCGTGTAAGAACTATCTTCACACATCAAATCATCCCCCGACACTTAGCTATTCTGGCCACGTCTACCGCCCGATCCTTTACACACCCTCTGTTTGTTTTACCCCGCTGTGGCCCATAATTATTTACAACCTGCTGAAATGCATAGTGACCCATAGAAGGGAACGCGTCTGTTTCTTTATTAATACAAACGTTTTCTGTGAAGGTAAAGGACCAACTAAAATTTTCCTGAGAAGAACTTTTACATTGGAAATAAGTTGTGATGAGTATGATGATGCGATTAATAGGTTCTTTGGATCATAAGCGCTGGAGGTGATGGGGGTAAGATTTATGAGGCTCTGACCTCAGCCCGACCAGCCACTATGGGTCCGACAAACTCAGAGAAGTGTATATGTATCCTAACCGCGTCTCCCCCCTTGTCAGGTAGTTGGTTAAACTGAAATTGATAATCTTGGTTGTTACGTATAGTATATGTTTCCCGGTTCGCTGATCGATTTGCCAGTATAGAGTTATTGATATTTCTTGGAATGTGTGTTAATATTGTTTGTTTTTTTCACATACCTGTATTTACTGTATATGTTTTCACGATGGGGGCAGCACTTGTAATATTAAATTTAAAATATATAATGAAACTACTTACTACGTGTTTTCTTGTTTATAATTTAATTCTTAGGACGTTTATACGATTTAAATTGTATATGCTTTGTGTTTGTATATTTCCATATATAGAATGATTGAAAGTTTATCCAGTTAATGAATACTCTCATCATTAACCTCCACTTGATTACACTGTTCTCTCCTGCCACTCGACTCTCATTTTTACTTGCATCTTTTTTGTCTTTCTCTCACTCGACTGTTTGATCCACTCCAAACTGCGAATATTGTTTCAGAATTCCCTGCCTCACTCAATACAGTGCTGGCAGTTGCCCACTACCTGGAGGTTTAGGTTAGTGTTAGGGTGGTTAAATCTCGAGGAGAAATAAGGTGGGTGTGTATTATTCAAGTGGAATTGGTGTTTATGAAAGGTAATACTATTGTTGACTGATGGCGCTTGTCTCAACGTCTTTATTCAATTTTATTATCCTCGAGGGGGAGCTTTACTAACCAACGACGAGGGCATCTGACTGAAATAACCAAGAGTTTATCGTTCATAGGGCTCTGACGAATTAGGATGTGAAGTTCATGTTTTTCTGATTTATTTATTTTTTGTATTTCCCCCCATTGCTGAATAGAAAAAAAAACATAAGCAATGTTTTTTTTTCGGTGTTTACTTCCCAGACACAAGTTGTGGCCCTCAAGTCTCGCCGACTGCAGAGTTGATTAATCTGGTCTGTCATATACGGGATTTCATGATCAATGCTTTGATTTGGGTAAATCCGCTACTGTTTAATGAGATACAGTATAATGTGATGGATCTAAACTAGGACATTACCAGGTGAAGGATATTGCTCAGCATGACCCAACCAAACAGCAGATTTCTTAGAGCACTCGTTATTCCTCCTGTGTTAACACTGGAGGGATGGCCCTCACTGGACTGCAAGGGAAACCAGTTTGGCATTATTGAAAGAACTATTTCAACTATTCTATATAAATATATTCAGTCGAGAGATATAAATACAACAGTCATGCTATAAACACCGTCTATTTTATAAACTGAAGCGAAATCCGAGCGACTCGTGAACACTCGGATTTTTCGGGGTTGTCACAGTAAACCCCGCTAGGCTGTGACGACCCTGGACACCACTCACTCGTGACAACTGCCACTCAAAATGAGAGATCAGTGGTCACTGTTTACCTGCTTAAAGCATAAGAGTGAGACGAGTCGTGACTCCACAGAGAGCTTCTCATTTGACAGTTAAATCACAAATACCCATACAATTTTGGATTAAACCCCCATTTCTAAGTGTGGTTCTTCATATAGTTCTCATATAGATCATTATCGGCAGACAAAACAAGACCACCGATTTGTAGAGAAGATCGCAAATTTTTCCAGCTTTAACTGACATATACGTTCAGAACTAATAGTTGGGGGCGCTATGACTGTTGACTTTGTGACGTAACTGTTTACTCAATAAATTATTTAGTGTCATGTTACTTCCGGAGATCATTGTAGGATTTATAACGTGTATTATTATGGACGATTTGTCTGTGTCCAGCCTCTCATAATTGGTAACGTGTACAACGCTAGGAGTACTGTACGTATACTATCATGAAAGTTATTGTGTATAACGTATGCAAAAAATACTGTACATTGCGTGTGTGTCACATAAGTCTTGGTATGTGAAATGTCTTTTATCACCGAGTAAGAATACTTATTTTATCATTCATGTCATGTGCATAACGTCTGTTTTAATGAGTACTTTGTATCCTGCAGGTCTGTGGTGCTGGCTTCCCGGGAACATATGTGCATCCACCCCACTGTCAGCAAATTAAATAACAAAAACGAGGAGTGTCGTAAGCTGCTGGATCCTCATTTGGTACGTACGTGTGTATGTGATGGTCAGCATCCTCGCCTCGCAAGCGAGCGGACCCGAGTTCGGTCCTCGGGCAGGGTGAAACTATGGGCAAGTTTCTTTACGCCATTCGCCTCTGTCTACCCAGTAGTAATTGGGAACCTGGATGTTAATCGATTTGCGGATCGTATTCCGAGGTAATGGTTAGCCAGTGCAGTTGGCGAGTTGTCCGGTCTTTTCGGACTATTCCTTGACACTGGGTCATGCAGCTCGTTAACTTATGGTGTGGTCGTTGTGTTGCCGACAGCTTGTACACCTTAAACAAATTTACGCCTTGGTGGCCCTAGGGCCGGCCATCCTCGATTTCGAGGGACTGCCATTATTATTATTTACGTGTGTGTTTGTGTATGTGTAGAATCATTCGCCCGACCTAACTCAATAAGTTATATGGGTTAGACATTTTAATACAACATTATCACATATCGTCTCAACAGATGGGCCAATACCTGCCCTCGTTGACATAAATACAGAAGTTGACTTAACATAGAACTGTACCTATTCATTGATTTTATATGACGGTGCTGAACCACGTAAATTTACATTGAAAAGATAAGATCAAAAATGCTTTACCGCATGTATGTATGTATGTAACATTAATGGTACAGTTTAATTTGTTACGCCTACATTTAGTTTGCTGAAGATAGGTTTGTTTGCCTTGGGAGCGTAAAGTGACAGTGATAGGGGGGATATATCACGAGTAGTCGACCACCCATGCACAGGTCTTGTTTCGATAAATGAGGAGCCTGAAACAGTGGATAGCCAAAGCTCTGATGTTTTATCCAGTATCATACAGTATTTAGTTAGCCATTACCCGGGTTTTACAAGTCACTGATCCATCAGCGAGGAGCCAGCTACCTCTGCCCAATACCGTATACAGTATTGACTGTTTTTGACCAGTCATGTATAAATACACTGACATGGGTATGAATGTCATGTGGTCTGAGTACTGTGACTGGAAATCCAATGAAGTTCGGGAAAAGTATATTAATGAAGGTTAGTTAGTCTTTCTAAAGGCTGCTATGCCTGGCTGAGTTTTTTTTTTTTTTTTTTTAATACGGGGATTAGCCCACCCGGGCACAGGTCACTGACCCACATCAGGGCCTGGGGGGCGAAAATGTAATACTAATAATAATAATAATAATAATAATAATAACAATAATAATAATAATAATAGCTGGTTCATAGTAAATAAAAATCTTAATAAAATATTTTTTTAAATAAAATAATAATGATAACACTGATAATACTAATAATAATAAAGAACCACAAATAAATACAAAAATGAAAAAAAAGATCAATAATTAGAAACGATATTTAGGTTGTGTTGTCAAAGTAAGAGAAACAATTGTGACCCTGCAATTGTGTGTAAATGTGGCAGAAAGTCAGGTCAGATCAACCTGGGACTAGGTCACAATTTTCGTGATGCCATATGGCAGCAGGGTCTACCATTAGACAATACATAATGGTTCCCAGGCGGTAGTACCTCCCTGTTTGATAGCTCCCTACTACCTGACCCAAGGCAGTGGTTCGTGCAGAAGGCAGTGTTCTACCTCCCCTCCACACCCATACGTCAGGTACACTGTTACCAGAACTGAACTGCTTCCAGTTACAAGACCTCTCACCCAGGTGGGGGGGGGCGTTTTTTTATGAGTGACTGTACTACATAATTTCTGTTTTAGTACTAGCGTATAGGTACTGTGTACTTGTACTATCAATACAGCACTAGTACTACTGTATATGTTTGTTAAAATGCTACAAATAGTCATACAATAATGTGCCTGTAAAGGCATTAAAGTTTTCACAGTCATTTGAAGAGTTAAGAAAGGATCCTGATGTGCATATTTTTCCAGAGAGTCGAGATTGACAGCAGGAAAGATGAAAAAAAACACAAGCAAATCATCATACCGGTAATGTAAAAAAAGTGCTTGGCAAATTGCCACTACCTCATGACGGTGAAGCTTTTCCTGCATGATCTTTCTCTGCTTTATAGTACAGTATAAGGAACTGATTAAAGATTGTGCTTTATGCTTAAGGAATAAGGTTTACAAAATATTGATTAATACAGGTACTACATTTCCAATTTCTTTTATTTGGAGTAGAAATTATGAGTGAACTATACTAAAATTTAGTAAGAGCTGCTAGTCTTACTCCCAGAACTCCATCTGGTGTGGGTGATATATGTACTGTAGTACAGTATATATTATAATGGGTTGATGTGAGAGTGAAATACTGTACTGACCAACTCTACCAGTTATAAATACAGTACCTGGCATCTCGAAAGGTACGGTGAAGACCACCCTCCAGTGTTAGTACAGTATAGTACTAGAGAAAACCTGTCAAGTGTGTTGGGCCACACATGAGACAATACCCTTCTCGCATGTGATCCAAGCAGTAATGAGAGGCGAGTATGATAACTACTGCTTTATCATGCATTCACTTTTGTAATAATGTGTGTCTGTCAATTAGAAGTTTTTAAACTAGATTATTCTTCTTTCCTTCTGTGGGTGTTTATGCTTTGTGGTACCATAGCAGTTTGTTTCTTGGTGGGTAAGGTGCCCCTTCCTTCCTTGTTGGTTTGACTAAATTAGTTTGGTTTGATGATAATATTTAAATTTCTAATCCCTTTGTAATAATTTCCATGTGGCACAGAATTTTTGTGTGTGGGAAAAACAAAGCTTTCTGAAGATCTGTAAGCATCGTGTTCTTATAAAATTCTTATTGTTGTTAAATTAAGTGATGTCCTTTATCCAATTTTTGTGCCGCTTCTAAACACAGTCTTGGTATTTATAGACAGGTAAGTATGGTCATACCAATATTGAGGTTGTAAATTTTAACATACATGACTGCTACTTGAATCAAAGCATTTCTCTACAGAGGTCACAGTTTAAGGTTGAGGAAGCCATAAGTTTAAAAGATTATCAGGGCAAACTTTTTCAGGGTGAGGGTTGTGAACTCTTAGAACAATTTGCCAGAGAGCGTTGTGATGGCCCCGAGTGTGAACTCATTCATGACTAGACTTGACCCACACTGGTGCAGGTACAGATACTTTCTGGAACCAGTAGTGTACTTGCCAACAGTGTGTAATAGAGCATAACCAATCACCCAAGTGGCTAGCGAGCCAATCAGTGGATGCAGAGGATATCGTAAAGTTTAGTGAAGTAGTGTACAGTAGTACCCCGATTTACGAGGTCAATTGAACCCACGGGGTACCGCGGAAAGTGAAAACCGCGTAAAGTGAACAACAGAACATATGGGATTAATTCCAATAGAGACTGGCCCTACCCCCAAACTCCACTTTTTCCGACATAATACCTATGTTGTCGTAAAAATAACATCTAAATTTTATGATGGTATGCTCACATATTTAATATTTAAGAGAAATACAATCGCCAGGTTAATGTCCATTCAAATAATAGACTCAAATCCCCCCCCCCCCTTCCCAGCTCACTGGCCCCTACCTCTCTGAGAAATGATTGGGTGAAACACTAGATTTTAACGTTTAGTAATAAATAATACCTCAGACTAAAGTTAGGATAATATAATTGACATTTCTGGATTCCTTGCAGGTCAGGGAATATTTTGAATGTAAACTTCATATATTTTGCACAAAAGATAAAATACTTGCTTTGTGTAAACCAAATTATTACATTAGATCTAAAATTTGTATGTCTAATGCAAAATCCATGATGTTTATATTCAAAATGATCATCATATTGTAAGAATTCCAGCAATGTAAATTATATTCTGGTCCAGTAATTTGTATGAATTTTATGAGCTAAAACAAATATCTTCAGTTAATAAAAAAAAAATATTCTTCACGACACTATCTGTCAATCAAAGTACCCCAACTTGCCTCCCCCCCTCTTCCAACCGCGCCAGATGGTCGGTCGGTCCCAACCCTCCCCCCCACCCCCACCTTCCCTCCCTACCAGAGAAATGTTGGGTGAAAAAACTAATTTTAACTTTTAGTAACAAATAATACCTCAGACTAAAGTTAGGATAATATAATTGACATTGCTGGATTCCTTGTAAGACCAGGAATTTTGAATATAAATGTCATATATTTTGCACAAAAGATAACATATTTACTCAGAGTAAACATTAGATCTAAAATTTGTATGTCTAATGCAAAATCTATGATGTTTATATTCAAAATGATCATCAAATTGTAAGAATTCCAGCAATGTAAATTATATTCTGGCCGGGTAATTTGTATGAATTTTATGAGCTAAAACAAATATCTTCAGTTAATAAAAAAAAAATATTCTTCACACCGTGCCAGATGGTCGGTCGGTCCCTCCCTATCCCTATCCTTTTTAGTAATAAATAATACCTCAGACTAAAGTTAGGATAATATAATTGACATTGCTGGATTCCTTGTAAGACCAGGAATATTTTGAATATAAATGTCATATATTTTGCACAAAAGATAACATATTTACTCAGAGTAAACATTAGATCTAAAATTTGTATGTCTAATGCAAAATCTATGATGTTTATATTCAAAATGATCATCAAATTGTAAGAATTCCAGCAATGTAAATTATATTCTGGCCGGGTAATTTGTATGAATTTTATGAGCTAAAACATATATTTTCATTAAATAAACAAAGAAATATTCTTCAAGGACACTATCTGTCAATCAAAATACTCGGCCCTAGCTGGATCCATCCCTCCCTCCCTCCCCCCTGCCCCCCACCTTCCCTCCCTACCAGAGAAGCTTTGGGAGAAAATAGAATTTACATTTTTAGTAATAAATAATAACTCAGACTAAAGTTAGGATAATATAATTGACATTTCTGGATTCCTTGCAGGTCAGGGAATATTTTGAATGTAAACTTCATATATTTTGCACAAAAGATAAAATACTTGCTTTGTGTAAATCAAATTATTACATTAGATCTAAAATTTGTATGTCTAATGCAAAATCCATGATGTTTATATTCAAAATGATCATCATATTGTAAGAATTCCAGCAATGTAAATTCTATTCTGGTCCAATAATTTGTATGAATTTTATGAGCTAAATGAAAAATAAAAAAAATTATACTTCACGCGTATATGAGTAGATGCACCGCGGAAAGTGAAAGTCCGGTTCTGGCAAGGTACCGCGTAAATGAGAAACCGCGGAAAGTGAAACCGTGTAAAGCGGCGTAATACTGTACTGTACTGTATTTACTATACAGTACTGTAGATCCTTATTTGTGCTTTCATAAGACTTATCCAGTTACATAGTAAGTATAAACCTTTATCACAGTGCATTATGATCATTTCCAATAAAACCAAAATAAATATCTTTGTTAGTGGCTGACATTATGAATTATATAATCTTAATGTATAACTGCAAGTGTAAGAAGGTGGGTGTTTGCTCTACACAAATTTAGTGACTTACAATCAGTGTCCGGAATTTTGTGGTTACCTCACACTGCCATACTTGTGAGAGGAAATTACGGACTAGGAGATACAAAGTACAGTACTGTATGTCAAAATTAAATTGAAAATTACCTTTTTACTCCTATAACACTATTCAACTAAGATACCTAACAAGACATATGCATAAATGATTAACTTACCAATCAGTGTAGTGGAGGTGATAGGCGTTGAAGGCTGATCATGCAATGGCCACTTCCCTTGTTATTTCGGCTTCAGGTGTTCAATCCCTATAGCTGTTTCCAAGGCTTTCACCAATGTTCTTATAATTTCAGTTCTACACAATGAAGTTTTCCATGGATTAGTGGTTAGTACTAGTACAAATGTGAATTATTGAAAATGTGACAATCGAAACTTGACAGCAGATTGATTGTGTTGGAGAAGATGTTTACAGTGCTGTACCAACCTTGGGACTGCTCTGACCCAATTGAGAACAGGGAACAGTCATCTGCTTTACCAACATTGATTGTCAAATTTTCAGATCCCAAAACTTATTCTAATGCAGTATTAATAAATGTTAATAATTGAATATATATACTGTACAGTATATACAGGGCATCCTCGCTTAGCTTCGGGGTTACATTCCTGAAAACACGACGTTATGTGAAATAACATTAAGCGTATCAAGTTTCCCCATAAGAAATAGATAAAATACGGGAGTTACGTTCCTGAGCCTCCCTTTGCCCCATGAAAAAAGTTACATATACAGAAAATCATTGCCATTTCTATAGAAAATAGTATATAGAACTACAGTACTAAGTTTGTATTGGTACTCACCAATGGGCGGAGGTGGTAGAGCGAGTGTGTGGTGGGTAGTGGAGCGAAGGAGGAGGGTGGTGAGTCACTTGAGAGTGCGGCTGCCTCCTCCTGCTCTGACTGGGGTTCCTCCACAGCTGTTTGCTCCTCCTCCGTTGTTGGCGGGAATGTCTCGGCAGCAACCGTATCTGAACTGGCAGCTTCACCAGTCATCTTTACAGTATATTGTGGAAGTTATACCGACGCTTAAATCGTTGAAACCATCCTCGGCTGGCCGTAAAGGTCTCTTCCTTCGATCCTCCACCCTCTTATTTGCTTCATGTAGTCAAACAAGGATCTGGCCTTATGCTGGATAACCATAAGGCTCACAGGTGCATTGCGTTGAGTTTGGTCCTCCATCTACATTGCCAGCATCTATTCCACCTTCTCTATCACAGTGCTTCTAGTACGAGTCGTCTTAGTAGCACTCAGAGAAAAACCATTTCCAGCACTAACCTTAATCTTGTCAGCGTTGGTCCGAATAGTACACACCGTTGTGGGGGTTAGACCAAGCACAGCGACTATGTCTATAGCACGTTCCCCTTTTTCAAATCGGGTTAATACATTCATTTTCAGCAAGAGTAATGGTCTTACATTGCCTCATCACTACACTAGCATCAGTAGCACTTGATGGGCACTTGAAAGCCATTTCAAATGGTTAGAGTACAGTTTTAGAGCAAAAGCACTTAAGCACACACAAATGAAGTGTAGTTGTAACAGAGACTGGCTTGGCATCGCTTGGGGACGCTGTGACGTTTGGCTAGTGAGGGCACCACACCAAGCTGAGAGAGCATAGTGCGGCCAGACAAGAGCAGGTGATGCGCCGTAGAAAGTAGTCCGTGACGACGCAAAACGACATAGTATTGGGTCACTATAGGGACGTTTAACGAATTTTTTATCTCTAAGTTCAGCGACGTAGAACCTAAACAACGTTAACCGGGACAACGTTAAGCAAGGACTTACTGTATACATATAAGAATGAAACGTACAAATTAATATGATCCCTTTACCTAAAATGTTAACACTCTCCGGCCCTTCCTCGGGGGTATCCGGTTATGTAAAAGTATGGAATGTTTCCCACAATCAAGTTGTAGTGTGTTCCTTAGATTTTAGGTAAGGTTTGTTAATACAGGTAATAGGTTAACTGCTCTGAACATTTATCTACAACATTATGTTTAGTTACAATGCATATCTGAATTAATCAATGAGAACAGTTACTACCTACTTGTAATTTTTTTTTACCAGGTGCCATTTAACACTATTGCATACTGTAATGACAGCAGCTTTTTATTAGTAGTTCTATGTTGTAATTTTCTCTCCATTTGACATTTTCTCTTATCATAAACTTGTCCATTCCATCAGGGCACTGGATGTAGGTATCATCATGGTTCCCAAAAGATAAAAAACTATGACCACTTGGCAGAGCATGGTGTGGATTCTGTATTGGATATTGAAGACTTGGTCAAATTTGGTAAGAGGGTCCATGCTTGCCCCTATTATACCTCCAGGACACTTTTAACAACAGCAGAATTAGTCATCTGTCCATATAACTACCTCATTGATCCACTCATTAGACAGTCGGTAAGTAATTTGATTATCACTGTAATAATTGTACTGTATTGTTATTGCTTTTAGAGATGGTTCTTTATAGTGGAAACAGATGTCATTATTTTTATATGGGAAATAAACTGTAATTTTTATATTATTCCTACTTCTCTATGATATTAAAATTCTAAATCCTATGATGCTTTCTGAGGAAATAATGTACAGCATGCCCTGACAGTTCAAGGATTTTTAATTCACGGATGACACCCTGGATGTACCCAAGAATGTCTGCGGGTAGTTTTAAAGTTGTCGGCATTTTCGTGGCCGGGACGGCAATTCATTTCTTCTAAAGCCAGTAATATCTTTTACCTATATTGTACTGTATATGTGTGTGTGTGTGTAGACACACACACACACAAAAAAAAATAAAAATAAATAATAATGGGAAAAATCCTCTCACGAATAATCAGAAACAAGACAACAAAATGTATTGAAATGTAGAAAAAATGTGAGTCTACCCTTAAGTCAATTTTGTACTTTGTTATTAAAGTTGAGGGGGTGCTGGTGGTAGAGTGGTACCGCTCTTGCCTTCGCAAGCGAGATGTCACGGGTTCGATTCCCGGGCCGGTGGAAGTTGTTTGGACATACTTCCTAGCCCCATTAGTCCCTGTTCACCTAGCAGTAAAGTAGGTACCTGGTTTAAATCGAAAGTTGCGAATTCGTATTCAGGGACAAGTTGTTGGAGCTTCCAATAACTTGATGACATTAACCATTGACTCTTCAGGCTTCTACGCCCTTAACTCATGAGACATAAAGGCAAGCATGAACTTAGCATGCTTCCCTGTTGGGCACTGTAAACGCTTCTGCGCTTCACCTTACACAAGGATGTAGGGGAGTGCCCAATAAATAATAAAAAAATAAAAAAATTAAAGTTGAGTTAACTTTCATAACAAAGCAAGGAGTTGATTTGTGGGTAGATATTTCGATACTTTTGTTGTCTTGTGTCGAATTATTCATGAGAGGATTTCCCATTAATATTTATTTGTATGTGTGTGTGTCTACACACACACACACATATATATATATATATATATATATATATATATATATATATATATATATATATATATATATATATATATATATATATATATATATATATATATATATATATATATATATATATATACACACAATACAGTCGACCCTCGTTAAGTCGGACCCCTTTAATCCGGATTTCGGATGAATCGCACGAAATCTGAACTGTCCATATCAAATTTCTGGGGCACTCAAATAAAGAGACATGGCTACATGTTTTGTGGACTAGCCACTGTACAGTATCCTTTTCATCACTTTGTAATAAACCTCGTTATGCCTATGTGTTTCTGATAATTATCATAACATTATATATTTATATATTTAGCGGTTGTACAAACACAAGGCCTCACACATGCCATTCAGACTGACAGACTTGACAAGTTTTACCAACCATAAAGACAGTTGAAGCTTTAAACATCACTCACAATGGATATTGAATATTCCAACTGTAATCAGACATACCTAAGTTGCCTCAACAATTGCAACCCCACTTGCAATATCAAATTCTGTGTCACTGCTAAGATATAACAGTCTCTGGTGCACTCTAAGATTAAGAGAAAACAGACGACTCAGGAGTGCTGAAGTGAGAGAAAATGGACTCCTATGACGGGGCACTCAAATAAACATACACATAGCTGTATAATGCAATATTAACCCCTAAATCGGTTAATTCAGACAATTGGCTATAACGGACACCCTTCCCCCCTTATTAGTCCTTTTTAACGAGGGTCGACTGTACAGGTAAAATAAATAATTTTCCTAAGGGCAAACACATAATGGGAATATGCATTTCTTTGCACACAAGTAAAATTGTAACCCCCATTCCCTCTCGATCAGTAAATGATATTTGCGGATTTGGCTATTCGCAGCCATTTAGAGAACCAAATCCTCATGAATTTTAAGGGAATGCTGTACAGGCAAACCCTAATTTATTTACCTAATGGCCACCCACTGGAGGTAGCAAGGCCAAGGGAAGGAGGCCAATGGTCTGTGTGGGATCCCTCCAGTGTTCTTGATAATTTTGTTAAGGTGCTATTTAGAAGTCCAGTACTGTCCGTGCTGCGGATGGTAGACCATTCAATAGGTGTGCCGCCCTTTATATGAAGAAATATTTCCTTATATTCATTTTGCATGAGAACTTGTCGAGCTCGTAGTTGTCCCCCTCGAGTTGGTGGTGCATGATATCACAAAGAAATAGCTCTGTAATAATAGAGGTAGTGGTGATGGTGGTGTTTGTGGTGATGAGGGATATTTGGGTTAGTGGTGAGGAGGTGATGCGTCTATCACTTTCTTTAGCAACACTGTGCCTGCTGCACTGCCAGACACTATTGAGCAGCTGATATCTACCCACAAAATTAAGTAGGTATAAATGAGCAAAGTTGTGTCCCTTCAACATAATGTAACATAACATTTTAAAATATGGAGTGAGAATGTAGAAAGATGTGGGTGATTAAAGAGATGGAATCGAAGAGTGTTGCCAAGTGCTCCTCAACAGCTGATCTTTAACCTAACACCATGCAGTCACACACTTGTACATAAGTTAACCAGTCACAAATTTATGTCATACAGAAAGACCCTCACTCTGGATGTGTTGCTGTGTTAATTCCCATGTTTGGGGTGTGTTGGTGGTGTTCGAGGATGTGTGTTGTGTAATGTTGGGATGTGAGTGGTGTTGGAGTGTGTGTGTGGTGTTGGAGGGTGTGTTGTGTAATGTTGGGATGTGAGTGATGTTGGAGGGTGTGTGTGTGTGTGATGTTGTAATGTGTGTGTGGGTTTTTTTTAATGTTATGTTGGAGGGTGTGCTGCGCAAGGATGTGTGGGTGAAAGTTGGAGGGTAAAGGTACAAATATGTGTGGTGGTGTTGGAGACTGTGTGTGGGTGGTGTTGAGGGTGTGCTGTGCAAGTATGTGTGGGGTGGTGTTGGTGCTGTGTGGGTGGTGTTGGAGGTGTGTGCTGCAAGCGATGTGGGTGGTGTTGGTGCTGTGTGGGGTGGTGTTGGAGGCTATGCGGGTGGTGTTGGAGGGTGTGTGGGTGGTGTTGAGGTTGTGTGGGTGGTGTTGAGGGTGGCTATGCAAGGATGTGTGGGTGGTGTTGAGGGTATGCAAGGATGTGTGGGTGGGTGTTGGAGGTGTGCTGTGCAAGGATGTGGGTGGTGTCAGGCTGTGTGTGGGTAGTGCTTGAAGCCAGTGTGGGTAGTGTTGAGGCTGTGTGTGGGTGGTGTTGAGCTGTGTGGGTGTTGGAGGTCAGTGGGGTGGTAAGGGGTCAGGTGGTGGTGTTGAGGCTGTCTGTGGGTGGTGTTGGAGGCTGTGGGTGGTGCTGGAGGCTGTGTGGGTGGTGTTGGAGGCTGTGTGTGGGTGGTGTTGGAGGCTGTGTGGTGGTGTTGGAGGGTGGGTGGTGTTGGAGGTGTGTGTGTGGAGGGTGTGTGTGTGGGTGGTGTTGGAGGGTGTGTGGTGGGTGGTGTTGGGAGGGTGTGTGTGGGTGGTGTTGGGTGGGTGGTGTTGGAGGGTGTGTGTGGGTGGTGTTGGAGGCTGTGTGGGTGGTGTTGGAGGCTGTGTGTGGATGGTGTTGGAGGATGTGTGGGTGGTGTTGGAGGGTGTGTGTGGGTGGTGGTGAACTAACCCATGAGTGTGTATGCTGGGAGTTGGTTATTGTTATTTTTCAACCCGTATTTTCAGGTAGATATACATAAATATTTATTATTATTATTGTTACAGGCACAGACAATCTTCACATAGAATGTGCAAAAAATAAATAAAAATAAAGAAGTTGCTATCATAAGGTTAAAAACATAAAAATAATTAACACTTCTTACAACCTTTGGCTGGAGTCGCCCTGAATTGTGTGAAGAGGGTGGTGGAGATCTAAGCTGCTTCAGTCTCCTGTGCATAGTGATACTGTACTATTATCAACTGGCAATGCGGTATTTTTTCTTTTATTTTTATTTATTCCTCACATTTATTGGTTTACTACAGTATACATGCGACCCTGGTTCCTAATAGCCTTGGCTAATGAGGAGTATATGCGCGGAAAAATGTGTGAAAGTTGCCGGCTGGGAACGCATCCCTCCTTCTATTTCCATTAATTCTTATGGGGAAAATTGCCCCAATATTTGCAGTTTCATTAATTGCAATGAGCCTTAGGAATGCATCCCTTGTGATATCCAGGGTATTTCTGTAATTTACAGTCCCAAATACAGAAGCAGTGCAATGAATCGTCTTAAGATTTATAAAGATTTTGTCACTCATCCAACAGCACCTGGGGCTGAGGAGGCAGGTAGGTAGAGGTGGTACTTGTCCGAGGTTCAGGCCAGGTCATTGTGAGATTAGAGCAATAAAAATCAAAGGGATCAGCTGTGACATCACTGACTATGTAGCACACACCTGTGGCTTCAAAGCCCCTTGTCTGCTGTATACATGCATATTATAGTCAAATCTCATTAAGGCAGACCCCACTAATCCGGATGTTGCTTAAGCCAGGCAAAATTTGAACCCACACCCCCCAAAAAAATGCCAAAATGTAAGACATAATTTGTTCTAAGATGATATGTCTGCCTTGAGCCAAAATTTCTGGGGATCAAGGTGGATACACCATTCTATTCCCACACTACCTACGCTGGTAAACAATGGGATGTGCTCAGTTATAAATTAGCATTGCCCATGTTAGCATTTCTTCCGCTCTCTTGTTCTATTGATTGTGTTTCATTGCCATTCAAATGTCCTGAACTTTATTTTCAACTTATATGGCATTATCAATAATCTGATTACATTGTAGGATGAAGTAACATACATATTTTTTGCATTTTTATTGAAAATTAGACAGTAACCATAGCCCCTACGAAAGTGTTTGGTGTTCATAAGGGTTGTGAGAAGATTAGGCTTAAGACCTTATCAGTGAACAAAACGTTAAAGACGATTGAAAAACTGGACAAAAGGTGCTACTTCACAAAAATGTGTGGAATACTGATTTTCAAAGCAGTCGGTGCCGGATATACAAAAATTTAAAGATAAGTTGCACAAATGTACAGTACTTTGTGTACATTAGGTTTTTTTTTTTTATGAAAAAACATGTAGTTCTTTCATAAAAATTTGATACATTGGTAATGTACAATTTTGGGGGGTTAAAATTTATTTATTTTATTTATTTTTTATTATTATTATTATTACCTGTATTATTATTATTATTATTTTTTTTTTTTTTAGATGGACAACCTCTTTTCCCGGAAAACTCTTCCCCCTAATTAGTCCGGCTTAGCAATGTTTTACTGGTATACATAATTTGATTAGGTCAAATGAAATTCTTAAAACTACAAGACTCCTCTTTACAGATGGACATCGTCCTGACAAACCAAATTATTGTGCTGGATGAAGCTCACAACATTGAGGACAGTGCCAGAGAGGCAGCCTCATGCACGGTTCCCCAGGGTGATATGCTTGAGGCCAGTCTTGATCTTCAGAGTTTAGCAAAGAAAGAAATCAATCCGTCTGAATGTACTGTATTGGTAAGTTTTGTTTTAAAGAAGCACCTTAAGTATTGTAATATTTACTTGCTATAGTAGTATTTTATTAGAGAACTCAATGTTTATATTAGTTGTTATAGTGATGATTGAACTTGCTGCTAAAGCCTCCAGAAAATAAACTTGGCACCTGTTGCTTACCACATGAGCAGTTGGTATGCTAGGGTGCACTATTGTGAATGACAGCTCTGATTGGTTAATTAAGTTAGATTTTATGGAATAAACAAAGCTTATTTTTGTAGCTAAAACATTAAAAAGTTCTCCACAAAGTAGACCTAAATGTATAATGCGTGAAATATGTTCTTAATTAAGAATGCTTCTTGTTGCTTCACATCACTATGACTAGCTAATGTACATATAAATAATACTGTATCTATATATTCAGCTTTGGAAATTATGATTTACTTTTAAAGATTCTGTAATTGACCAGGTAATCTTGATTTATTCCATAAAAATATTTCTGTCCTGCTGGTATTTTCCCATGAAATGACTAGTTAAATGTTCTGCTGGTACAGTAGACTCCCAATTTTACAAATATTTTAACAATGCAGGTAATTTTCATACTGCATAAAAAGGTTGAATGACTATTTTTATGCTGATAGTTATCTAAGTGTTATCCCTGTTAGCCAGAACAATTGGTGCAGATCTCTTCCAGGAATGAGAGATCTCCAGGTAACGAGATGACACTCTCAAACCTGGAAAAACTCCTACATCCCGGGAAATTTCCGGGTACATGCACTGTACAGTAATAGAAAAATTTCCGAGAGTCTAAACTATGCATTTCTCACAGACATAAACTATTGCACATCCCCGGAATGTTTCTGGGCGCTAGGGAAAGTTTTCCAAGAGTCAAAACTATGCATCTCATCTCGACTCTAAATTCTTAGGAAAAATTTTCCAATAGTAGCCCGAAAATTCCGGGGATGGAGTATATTTCTCTGGGTTCGAGAGATGATGTAATGGGCAAATTCTGGAGTACAGTTATTACAGTTACATATACTGTACTGTACATTCAGTAAATGTGAAAGTAACATATGTACACTAGCTACTGTACAGTACAGGAGGTCCTTGTTATAAGAGTATTCACTATCCACGGTTTCGCAGTTAAGTGGTTAACTTTTTGTGACCATCCACGTAAAAAGTTCCTGCACTTATGTGGATTTCACTCAAAAACTCTGGAAAACTCGGGAAAAATCTACAGATTTAAAACTCCCGATAAAATTACGGATTTTACCTGAAGCGTTTGAAATTTCATCCTCTTCCTGGAGTCATTCATGCACACACGTGTCCCTGTGCCAGTCTCCCACTTTGTTTTGCCCAGACCAGTGCTGTGTTGTGTTTACTCCTGCCTTTGTTGTGTCTTTTCATGCTTGTTGTGGTGAATTATTTTATAATTTTTGCAGCCATGAGTTCCCAACCCAAACAGGGTGGTACAGCACTCAAAAGGAAGTACACTAGCTATAGTACAGATGTAAAATTATAAGTGATTAGGTTAAAGAAGAGTGGGAGTGAATAATCCACCTAGTCCTGTTTCTCTTTCATCCTCCAACTAATCCCCCATCCCCCAACACCCACCATCATCAAGCTAAACATCTCCTCCTTTGAAGCTATGAAATAAAAATATTTTATTATGTTAAAATTTTATATTTTTAAAACATTATAATAAAAATAATGTTATCAAATGTTCCTAAGGTAAATAATTGTTAAAAGATATCATATAAAAAAATTGAGTATTGTGTACAGTATCATGGTCCCAATTTGACCTATTTCCATTATTTCTTATTGCATTAATTCCTCGCTTTAAGTGAATTTGCTATCAGAGGCGTTTTTCCGGTCCCAATTAACACGGGATAACGAGGTCCCCCTGTATATAGCTGAGTGGACACTAGCTATAGTACAGATGTAAAATTATAAGTGATTAGGTTAAAGAAGAGTGGGAGTGAATAATCCACCTAGTCCTGTTTCTCTTTCATCCTCCAACTAATCCCCCATCCCCCAACACCCACCATCATCAAGCTAAACATCTCCTCCTTTGAAGCTATGAAATAAAAATATTTTATTATGTTAAAATTTTATATTTTTAAAACATTATAATAAAAATAATGTTATCAAATGTTCCTAAGGTAAATAATTGTTAAAAGATATCATATAAAAAAATTGAGTATTGTGTACAGTATCATGGTCCCAATTTGACCTATTTCCATTATTTCTTATTGCATTAATTCCTCGCTTTAAGTGAATTTGCTATCAGAGGCGTTTTTCCGGTCCCAATTAACACGGGATAACGAGGTCCCCCTGTATATAGCTGAGTGGACAGTGTGCAGAGAGTACATGTACAGTTTTTTGTTTCTACATGCTTAGCCCACCAGGGCACAGGTCAGTGACCCACATCAGGGCCTGAAGGCAAAATTATAGTAATAATAATAATAATAAAAATTAATGAAAATTAATACAAAAATATTAAATAAAAATATACTGTAATAATAATAATATAATAACTATAATTGTTATAATAATAAAGGGCAAATAAATAAATAAATAAATAAAAAGATAAATATTGAGAAACAATGTATTGTATGTATGTTGTGTTGTCAAAGTAAGAGAAACAATCAAGACCCTGCAATTGTGTGTAAATGAGGCAGAAAGTCAGATGAGCAACCTGGGACTTGGTCACAATTTTTCTGATACTATATGGCAGCAGGGTCTACCATTAGAGCAGTGCTTTTCAACCAGGGTGACCCAGGCTAGGTCCAGGGGTGACCTGATAGGCTGGGGTGACCCAGGGGTGACCTGGAAGGTTGGGGTGATCCAAGTGGCTGGGGTGACTATGTATGATATGTGCCAAAGAAGTCTCTACTATAGCTGCAGATGCTAGTCATTAGTTTTAATAATTCAGGAAGTTTTTTGTTTGATATTGTGTAAAATGTAAAACTAAATTTTCTGTTCGTGTTTATGATTTTTAAAAAAATAAATAAAATTTGGCTTGTGTCATCATCACTGGTGATGGTGAAGCTTGTGACCTTCTCATTCAAACTGTTTTTCCCCTTTTTATGTACCTATTGTGTTTTGAGAAAAAAATAAGTAAAGAAGTGCTCAAAAATAACAAAAACAAAATCCCAACTGTCACCTCAAACAGCTATTTTATCAACCTTCTCAAGTAGTAGGTCTTGAAGGTGGCGATGACGCCCTGATCCATCGGTTGGATGAGGCAGGTGGTGTTGGGGAGCAGAAAATCACATTGATGTTGTTAGTTCACTCATCCATCGTAGGCGGGTGTGAAGGAGCATTGTCTAGGATCAGGAAAAACTTGTTTGTGATGTTCTGCTTTTCAGCGTACTCCTTGACGTGTTTGGAGAGGTAGCCAACAACATCGGTTGGATGACAACAGGTGGTGTACCCAGGCACATCTGATGTGGAGTTCACTCTAGTAGGGTGCTTCTTGAGCATTGTCCACTTAAGAGTTCTCGGGTTGTTTGTGATGTTCTGCTTTTCAGCGTACTCCTTGACGTGTTTGGAGAGGTAGCCAACAACATAATTCTGGCACAACACCGTCGTTACCCAGGCCTTCTTGTTGGAGTGCCAGATGACTAGGAGGTGCTTCTTAAAAAACCACTTAAGAGTTCTCGGGTTCTCAGAATGGTACACCAGCATCGGAATCAATTTAAGGTCCCACTCAGCATTGCCTCCAAGCAGCAAATTAAGGCAGTTCTTGGCTGCTTTGAAGCCTAGTGCAGTCTACTCATCCTTGGCCAGGAAAGTACTTGATCGCATCTTCTTCCAAAACAGGCCTTTGTCATTGAAGTTCAGGACCTACTTGGTGGTGTATCTTCTTTCCTCCACCTGAGCCTTCAGGAGTGGTGGGAAGGTGTTAGCACTCGTGACGTCAGCACTGGCTGCCTCATGAATCAGATGAAGGTTGTGTAGATTGGTGCACCTTTTGAATCATTGAAACCACCCAGGACTTGTCCTGAAAGGGGCATCACCTGCCTTGCTCGCACCGCTCTCTGCCTTCAACATCACCCAGATGTCGCTGGCCTTCACCATGATGTTCACTGTGGAAAGAGGCAAGTGACGTCGAGTCTTATCCCGAATGCATTCTTGGAATAGCCTATCCATGATAGGTTCACGCTTTCTTACTAATCTAGAAGCGAAAACTGATGTTCTGCTCCACAGCCTTCACTGCCGGTGCCTTTTCAATGATGGTAGACACCATTGACTAGACCAGGCCAAGCGCACTAGCAATAGAGCAAGCTCCTTCACCCATCTTATGCCACTTCACAGTGTCAAGCTTCACCTCCAGAGAGACAATTTTCTTGGGTGCTTTGGCCTTCCCCAATGCAGGAGTATCAACAACACACTTGCAAATCCTCAAACTGTTTTGCACCAATTATTCTGGCTAATGGGGCTCTCATATATATATATTTATATATATATATATATATATATATATATATATATATATATATATATATATATATATATATATATATATATATATATATATATATATAGCAAATATATATATATATAATATATATATTATATATATATATATATATATATATATATATATATATATATGTATATAGTATACTGTTTTTTTTCTGTGAAAGTTATATGTGATACTGTACTGTATGGCAAAATACAGGCCAAGTATGGTACAGTTTTGAAATTGGTGATGCATATCATATAAGAATGGTATTACGTACTGTGAGTTAATTGTATGTAGTGTAATAAAAAATATGTCGGGCATCTTTTTCTAGGAGAACACTTGCCCTTTTCTCTTTGTTGTTGCCAAATCTCTTTCTTTCCTCATTCTCTCTGTATGTTTAGTCTCATTGCTTGAATTTCTTACATACTGGTAAGATACATTCATTATTTTATTAAAGAAATAAATTTCCCTTTCATCCAGTTTCAGATGTTGGATGCTTTATGTGGATGGGTGAACCAAAACTCTGACAAACTCACAGACTATACAGACTATGATCGTTCAGGCAAAATTTTCAAAGGCACAGAAATGATTGCACACCTTGAACTTCTTGGAATTGGATGCAGCAATTTTAAGAAATTTAAGGTCAGTAGCTTAGGTAAAGGTTGGTATTTTTTCTTCAAGTTTTGAATGCCATTTATTGCTATACAGTACCTCAAATTGACCAATATCAAGAGCAAATACAGACTCTCCTCCTACCCTTGCACTCATCTATTTACCTACTTTAAATGCAAAAACATCACCATAAACAGTGTTATAGTCCCTTAATAATGTGCACTGCTTCTCCATTGATGCCCTTTACACAGATTTATAATACAGTACAGGTATACCCCAATAACCGAAGCCTGTAGGGACCATGAAAAGTCATTGGTTAGTTAATCAACGGTTATCAAAGCAATTATTCCCATAAGAACATAACAAATTCAGGAGATGAGGGACTGGCCACCCCCAAAAAACTCCCATCTGCCCACAGTACATCGTGCACACTGTCAAGCAAGAAAATAAACCAGACATATGAATCAATCGTAATGAGCATGAAATAAAGAATAAGCATAATTTGAGACTTACAGGTATTTGCCTATGTTGAACCATTGAGTTGGCATTCCTGCCCATGGCTGGAGGAACATGTTGGTTAGGGTAAGCTTACTGGGTGAAGGGTGTGGAGTCGTCAGGGTCCTCAAACCCATTGACTGCAGGTGGAGACTTTGGCTGAGGGGCAGCTAGAGACTCTTGCTGAGGGGCAGCTTTGTACATGAAGAAATTAAATATATACTGTAAATACTCCTACAAAACCTCGGCCAAGTCGGCGCATGTTCTCGTCTGATCAGTTTGTTTAAAACCAACGTGCGTAGCTCAAGTCAACAAATAACATTAAATTACACCATAACGCTTTAACAATGTTGCCTTTATTGGGACCAGTTATCAAAATAAGTACTTTGTTTAAAATAGCTGAGTGTCTGCCCCAGGCTATAAAGTTACCTGGTAAGTAAGGTTAGGTAGGTTTCTTTTGCTGGTTAAGTTAGGTTGTATTATGGTCTATAGGAAAAAGAATAAAATCGAACAACTTCTGGTGGCAATGCTGTTCTCAGACATTACCAGTGATAAATAAATTGTTATAAATATGAACAAGATTATTGATACTGATTATTGTGGGTCATACAATAATTGTAAATTAATAGATGCAGAGCTATTCTGAACTCTTGCCTGGTTGGCATTTTCTTCTAGTATAAGCCCATTTGGTCAATATTAAAACTTGTTTGGCTGTATAGCCTCTCTGTTGTATCTTGTCCCTCAGCTCAGCAAGAAACGTGCTTGCAGCCACCTACTGAAAATATCTGTCGCATCTTGACCACCAGCCACTCACCCACTTGTGCCGTAGATAGTAGACGCTCACTGTCATTGGCCGAGACGGGAGGGGAGGCTGCAGGCCGGCCATTGTGATTGGCTGCCGCGCCTCACTCACTGATGGGACGAGAACACCTTACGACGCGAAAGCCAAGCCCATACTTTCCTGTATGCCACAAAGTCGATGTTACACCCTATTTTCAGAGGGCTTTCAAACATATTTATGGTCTAGTATGGTGATCTCATCCACTACCATCGTATAGAGCTAGGCTGAAAATAGTGCTTTCCAACAAAAACCGGGTTTCGCCCTGGGTGGTCTGAGTTATCCTTATGATGCCGAGCGCCTCATTTATACTTCACACAGCCTTTGGCCTGGTATTTCCAGGCATAGCCATCCTTAGTTTTGGCATACTTTGTCCAGTTCATCTGATTATGACAACTTTCACAGTTCACTTCATATTTTAAAAGTCCATATTGGTCAAGCCATTTTATAAAACTGGCAAGGAATCCTCACACAGCAAAGGCAGCACGACAATTTTGAATGTGTTGCGTGTCATGGTCTACCCATGATTGACAAAATAAAATTCTCTATGCTAAGTTTTATATGCTATAACCTCTCACTGACCTCTAAGGTCATGGTGATCAACTGAAGCATATCCACCCTGAGTGCACCCATCTGAAGAATTTCCCTTCTGATTCATCCTGGGAGGGAGATTCTTCATTTGATTCATTTTTTCTGTCACTATTTTCTTTAGGCTTTATTTCCGTTCACCCAAAATCCAAACACCCCTCATAAAATCCTGGATCCTCGGCTGCATAAGAACTTGAACTGTACTCAAGTACAATATACGGTAATCAACTGAACTAATTTGTGGCAGCACAGATACTTGTTTTCAGATGGTGTGGAGTTGTACTGCATAAAAATGAATAGAAAGCACCCAAGAACTACATTAGTTAGATCTCAAAATAAATTTGAAATGTAGTACTGAACGGTTTATCAGTTTATTAATTATTTAGTCACATAGGGATATTTGAGTTTGTCCTGAAATATAATAGTACTGTGTTCCAACTTCCATAGACCAAGCATATAATTTCTATTTTATTTAGTTATTTTTTATTATTATTGTTGTATGGTATGACGCATCGTGAGTAAGGAATTGAGTTAGTATAGAAGTTTCAAGGCCTTTTCATTGTAGAATAGGTTAGATAATATAAGAAGCAAGTAAATCACTGTTTAAAACTAGCATTATAGACATACAAAGTCAACTTAACAGGCAACTTTTTGGATGCAAGGCCAAACATTATATCTCAGTGAGGCATCAGCTCATCAGGGAGATATAGTTTGTGAGTGACAAAACATTCATATTAGTGGTGCACAGCTACTGAACAATATTTTCAAGACAGAAAATCAAGAATAGTTATGGCTATTACTGTACTTCAGTCAGTCACTCCAGGTGCCATCCTTATGTTTGTTGGTTCACATTCCCTCCTCAAAACGTTTTCAGGTCTTTGTGAATTGTCCCAAGTAATACATCTATTTAGCAACCAATCTTTTATTTTTAGATTTCCATCCCAGTTTCTTCCTTCCTCTTGTTCTTCTTCCTGCAAATTTAACACAAATTTACTTTACCAGCATTGCCTATCCGTTCTGACTGTTGACAAAGCACCAGACGAGCTAGTGATAATTCCCAGCATCAACAGTGCAACAACTTCACTACTCAAGAACCTTTTTCTTATGTTTCATTACCTTTTTATGGATAACATGAAATATGGCGATGATTATCGGGTTGCTCTGGTGAAAGAACAGAGTAGGAAGAACAGCACTCCAGTGAGTATAGTCTTAAACATCATGTTGTACAAACACTACATATAATTTAATGCAGTATACTTTAGACAAACTTAAAGGAGCCAATCATTGTCATAAATTGTATGTCGATTGTTATAAAACCTTTGTGAAATATGTACTTCTGTAACAATTGTTAGAAATTAGTTTTTTTACTATGTTTATAAGCCTACTCCTGCATTATAAGTATAGGTGCTCCTCTACTTAAGAACGTTCAACTTACAAGCTTTTAGAGATGAAAACATCATCACTGAGTGGGGGGTTACCTGCCAGAACAGGTGTTTAATGTGGATGAGATTGGATTATTTTGAAGAAAATTCCAGATAGAACAAATATTACCTAAGAGGAGAAGAGTGAGACAGGTTTTAAGGCTGTATTAAAGGGTATAGCTGTACTAAATATCCATAATCTTTTAAATTTTTTACAATATGTTTGGTATCTACAAGAGTAAAGTTGGACTTAGTAACAATTGGAGTTACAAACAAGCCTCAGGAACTTAACTTGTTTGTAAGTAGAGGAGCACCTGTACTGTACTTTATATTGAAGTACTGTACAAATTTTGTCAAATATATTTCAATACAGTATCCTGTTGTTTGTAACAATACATGAGAAGTTCATCCTTCTCATGTCATTGCTCTAAGAACAATCTTAAGAATTTCACCTTTGGATTCAGTTAACATAAAAAACAACAACTTGGAAATGTTATATACAGTACAGTATATTATCTGTACTATACATAGGCACGAATTCAGTTCGAATCAACTCAGGATGATATACTGTAATTCAAACTTAGACGAGTGGTTCAAAATAAAGATAACATGTTCAAACTTGAATTTTTTTCAAATTAAGCAAAACTCACAGCAGCTGAATTTGAAATAATGTTCTTCCACTGTATATATGAGGAGCTCTGGACCATAATCTCTTAAGTGCCAAAATAGAAAATGGAGGTAAAAGCTTAGGAAGGAATGTGTGGCATAAAATAGTCTTTTCAGGGGACTCTTACCCTGTATTTACAGGTTTCCAATTATCTCTCTAACTTACTCAGGGGACAGAGGGGAGGCTGGGGAATACCATGCAATACATATACATTTCAGTGACATATGGCTCTTAGTGGGTTATGGTCTGGAGCTCCTCATTATAGAATGTGTAATTTGTGTACAGTACTTAGATTTTAATTCTTTCATTGAACAGAATGCAGATGGTTGGTTTGGCAAAGGGGAATCTTGTGTAGGATGGAAGTACTCCATTAATTTCTGGTGCCTCAATCCTGCTGTAACTTTCTCTGCATTTGGAGGTATTGTCCGCTCCATCATCCTGACCTCAGGAACTCTTTCCCCTATGAGCACCTTCCAGTCTGAATTGGGTATTCCATTCAAGATACAACTAGAAGCTAATCATGTCATTGACAAGAGCCAGGTACTGTACTGTATAAGATGAATGAGATAATTTTTATGGTTAAATCATGTTATGCTACTTTCATACAGTGATCCAATCTTAGCATGGTGTACAATACTGTTCCTTAAAGGGTAATGAAATTGGTTTCAGTAGTTATTTAAAGTTCATTATCATGATTAGAAATTTTTACAAATTGAATAGTTTTGTGCATTGTTTCTATAGGAAATTGGGAGATAGATTCTGTAAAAAGAAAAACACAAAGCATGCTACTTACTTTATTAAATGTAGAAATTCAGGTACTTGCAGCCACATATAAGAAGTCCAGCAGCAGCCATGTGGTGAGATTCAGTGTGAGACACCTAGGTGTGACAAAGGGTTTCCCACAGCTAACAATAGATTGAGGTGGCTTGAGGAACGCCTCACCTGTCCGCTGTGTTCCCACTCTTGGAGTTCTCATTGGCCCCATGCTGATGAGCGATAATGGTTTAACTTACCCCATGTTCAAGTTCTTCAATAATTTTAACTTTATCCCCTTGGCAAGAGTTCCAGGGGATGTCGATGAAGAAGGTCATTCTGGAGGTATCTTGGTGTTTCACAGGGTTAAGGTAGTCACCCACAAAAGTCGTGTTGCCTTTCCTCCTGAACCACACACCCTGAGATTCATACTCGTGAATCTGAAACATTTATGGACAATATTGCATCAGTGTCTACTGATTCGGGTACACGACTCTGAATCTCAGGGTTTGTGGAAGAGCAGAAGAGGTGACAGGACTTGTGGGTGACTGTATACTGTAGAACAGAGTAAATGGAGCAATGGCATGTTGGTTCATCCTTGGTGGTGGTTGGTGAGAACACCAACCTGACAATGCCGCAGGCCCACTCACGTGACAAGCGTGGGGATTTAGATGCAAAGCCATCCCCTCGGAGCATCACTGCACTATGACAGATGACTCATATGGTCTGCTGCATATTACAAGATGGGCATCCTTATTGTAATATATGGAAGCAATATAAGTTGCCACTCTATTGTAAAGTCCTTATTTTAATACAGTGTACACTTAATAACACAATTCTATTGTATTGTAATATGATTTTGGCATTATCGTCCATTAGGATTAAGTTTAGTCTTGGTAGTTCTCTTAGAAATTTCAGTTATGCAAACATTAGAAACAAGAATTTAAGTACATACAGCTCCCAAAAATATATTTATCCTGTTTATGTAATTACAGGCATTTTTTATGGTAAAATCCGATTTCAATTATGGCGTGCCAAATTACTGGTGCCTTGGACCTCAATGCATGAGATTCCCATATGGCTAGCTTGTTTAGTGTATTCCGAGGGCATTTGCATCTATTTCATCATCATCATCTTCATTTTACAGCCATTTTCCACACTTGTGTGGGTTATTCACGGTTACTTGATGGCAGCTCTCCATGTTGCACTGTCACTTGAAGTCTCTCTTGTCAGGATCTTAGCTCTAATGTAATTTTTTACAACCTCTCTCCATGTCATTCTTGGCTGACTCTCCACATGTCCAAACCATCTCAACCAGCCTCTATGCAGGCCTTTGCCAATACTCTCCATACCTAGTCAGCCTCTTAACTCTGAACAGGGCCTCCTGTCTTCCAGTTTCTGCTCCATTGAGGACAGTAATGCTGGCATTTTGAGACATGGTTTAATTGCTAATTCATAACTTGCCTAGGGTCCTTAGGGAGTCATGGGTAACCCGTGTACCAACTTCAAAACACAAGAATGTGAATGTGAACGTGGATTTACAGGCACTTGTTGGGACCACCGTGGAAGACTGGATATTTTCATGAGTAACAAGATATGAGAAAATATCTCAGAAGAAAATGGACAGCTCTCCTAAATCATTTATTAGAAGTAACTGGTTAAGAGAAGTCCAGTTAGTAAAAAACTCACTGCATATGGTTGAACCTTTCCCCTGTAGAAGTATAACAAACAACCTCACTAGTTTTTAATGTTTTTCTTGTGGTTTTGTCATTGCTTTTAATATAAAATTTCTTCATAGTTACTGCATAGGAGAAAGAGAGAGAGAGAGAGAGAGAGAGAGAGAGAGAGAGAATTATCATTATTAATATACTGTACTGTTACCTTATGTTCTTGAAAAGTCTGATATAGTAGTAGTGACTTTTCAGGAGATTTTTTATTAATTTGAAGCTGTCTTCATTATTCTTGTTTATTTGCAGGTTTGGGTGGGAACAATAGGTAAAGGGCCAACAGAGCACAGTTTACAGGCAACTTACCGTCATACTGAATCTTTTACATTCCAAGATGAATTAGGAAAACTTATTCTTGATGTTTGTAAGACTGTGCCTCGAGGGATATTGTGCTTTCTTCCTTCCTATGCCATGCTCAACAAATTAGTTAACAGGTAAATTTCTCCAAATTTGCAAGATATTTTCATGTATACATTTTTGAAGTTCTACAAGGTAAGCAATTTAGTTTCTGCCATGCATCCCTTGTTCATGCTCAGGTCAATAGATTCCTTCGTATGGACATTTCTCTGACATACTCCCAACATCCTTTTTTGGACAATAGAAGAGTATCAGGTTCAAGATACAGTAGTACAGTACAGTGGTCCCTCGGTTAACGAGCACAATCCGTTCCAGCAGGTTGCTCGTTAACCGAAAAACTCGTTAACCAAAACCATTGTTTCAATGGGTTTTTGGGTAATTGGTTCCAGCTCACCGAAAATTGCCTAAATTCAACAAAAAAGGTAGAAAAGTACACTTACTTTGAGGTGTGTATGTAGAAGGCTCCTGGATGATGATGATGATGATGATGATGATGGGAATTAGAATGGAGGTGGAGAAGAAGGAAGAAGAAAAGGCATTGGGGTGGAAGAGAAGTCACCCCATGGTGCCATTTCACCCATAAAATTTAGCTCTCTTGGTGTAATTCAAGATTATTTTCTTTAAATCAACACTGCACTGCATTATATATTGTCAATATGTAAAATATATTTCAAAATGACCAATAATTTGCTTGGAAACACAGAAAAAAAGCATTTAGTTGAAGAGAGTCTCAAGCAAGATGTTACCTCCACTGAAAACAGAGAGAGACTAACTCCTGTCTGGTGTGTTAACAGGCTGGATGGCATGCCAGAAACTAGTTTCTTTACCTTCGATTATGTTCAATAATTGTTAAAATGACTAAAAAAGTTAATATTAAACTTTTAAAATTATTGAATAGTATAAACTTCTTGATATTTACTAAAATAGTAAGGAATTTAAGCCCTAAAACCGATTACTGTATTGGCGGACTAATACTACAGCTGGTGGACCGCCAAATGCAAGTGAAAACATGTTGAAGTCGGCTCGTAAAAAACTCGTTAATCAAGGGATTGCTCGTTAACCGAAGTTAAGAATCTTATGGAAGGTAAATCGTTAACCGAAATCTCGTTAACCGAGGCGCTCGTTAACCGAGGGACCACTGTAATAGAGATGGGACACAAATGTGTAGTCACTAAACCCTCATTTTTACTTTTAGTTGTGTCCCTAAAGGGGTCATGTAACTGCAAAATTGAACAATGGTGAGTCTACTGTTTAATGGGGAAATAAGGTCTAAGTTTCAATAACCACCAAATCCTGCAGTATGAAGTGATATCCCCATTAGCTAGAACAATTGGAGCAGAGGTCTTCTGGGGATGAGAGATTTCCAGGCAGAAATATTTTACATCCCCAGAATTTTTCCAGGTACATATATTGGAAAAGATTCCAAGAATCTAAACTACAGATTTTGCACAGACATTCATGTACACTGGCCCACGTCCCCGGAATGTTTCTAGGGGACGGGAAAGTTTTTCCGCAGGCACAAGCGAAAATCAATTGCAGACACTTGTAAAGCGACTTTAGCTTCATCACCAATCTCCAGATGAGCCAAGACCTGCATAAAATGAGACCCCACTGTTCATGTACTGAGGTGTTTGCAAAAATGAATACTGTACAGCTCTGTGAGATGCATTATTTAGACTTGGGGAAAACTTGTTCCAGTACAGGATGGAAAATTCTACTGTTTTGACCGTGCCCGTATCTTAATAAAAATTTTTTTTATTATTATTTATTAAACCAAATTTCAGGATTAATTTGGTAAAAAAATATGGTGTTTCTAACAAAATTAGAACTGATTTTATAGACTCCCATATCAACATTTCTTAGGTTTTTTCATAAAAGAATTGAGTCCCTGTCTTTATATCATGACAAAATATTTTGTTTTGGGGTCTTTTATTAGAACAGACCTGTAGAGAATTTAGGGGTCCTCACGAAACTCATGAATCGAGGGACTCGAGGTTTGCGAAACTTGCGAGGCCACTGTAAACTATAATTCACAGTCTTTTGGTATCTAACCTGCAAATTATCAAGACTCCACTGTATATTGGAAAAAGTCTTTTGTCACATACCCATGGAACATCTGTAATAAATAGTTTTTATAATATAACAGCACTTCAGGCCTTGCAGATTATGTGAAACATTTACAGGGGGTCCTCACTATACATTGTACTCTTATACGTCGCTAACAAATGTCTCGTAACGTAATCAGTTTTCCTAAAAAATTTAAATAACAAAATAAAAATAAACCAGATGAGTTATTGTGTTATATTAAATTCCTGGTGCTTGTTTACAAAGCCGACCAGCTAACCGTCATTGGCCTCCCTCTGAGCAGTGTTGCCAATGTTCTAATTCTCTCATGCATTTCTGCTATCACTACTCAAGGTACTTGGTGCTTACTACAACAACTGTCATCAACACTTAGTAAATAATATTGCAGTGTATTTATCAGCACAAGTAGCCATATCAATCAGTGGCAACAAATAATGTTGTTAGGATTGTATCCATATCAAATGCTATAAGTCAACCCTCCAGTTTTGGCCACTAATTGATGCCAAAAAAACTTTGCCAAACCAGAGGGCTTAATCCAATGGGAAAAAGCCTAGTTGGTACCAAGGGGCCACCCAAAGTCTAAATTTTTTCCTATTTTACCCACATATGATCTATAGTTTATTGCTGAAAGAGAATGAATAATTAGTTAATCAACGTGAACATAGAAAACCAACCATAAAATTAAAATTGAGGAGCTTAATGCACACTAAGCTGGTATCTGAGGCTGGGGAAGGAAGGCTAACATCCGTCGCCCCCCTCCTCCACCACTGCCTTTGCCTCTGTCTCCGCCACCACTAGATCAAAGCCTTCAAAATAAAAGTCCTCTTGCAGGCTAGCTTGGTCGTGATGATCTTTTTCCCCTTCATCTTCCACCTCTACATGTTCAATTGTTTCAATCACTTGCCTATTTTCTTCTTGTTTGCAGCTCAAGTAACGAGTGATCAGATCTTGTTTGCTGTCACTTACTTTCTTGTTATAATTTTCTTGGTAGTGACCTCGTATTTTATTAAGCAAACCCATCATTATCTCACGCGCATCATAGTTTGTCTCATCCAACAACATCTGCTTTTCGCAGCTGTCACACATTCCTAGGAACACAGACAGATCACGAGTTGTTGGCTCCGTCGGTTGTTGCACAATTTGTGGGGGCGTTTCTTGCTAAACCTGATTTTATTCTCCCAGCATATCCTCAATGCACCTAAAAGTTCGTTAATTTGGTCCTCATTCACGCTATTGAAGCCAGGGGCTGGGATACTTTGGACTGACTGAACTGTCTCCAATAAGAGATCTTCCTGTTGCTGGCGGCTATCCTGTGACTTGGCAAGATGAGGAAGTAGCGGCATCCAGGCGTGGTGAACTGGTGCGTTTGTTATCTGGTTCCAGGCTGACACCAGATAATTGACTGCCTCACGAATATTGAATTTTTTCCAAAAGACCTGGACAGTCATAACTTCTGCCTGTTCATTCAAGGAGAGGGTGGGTAGGAGGGAGAGGGTGGGGAGGAGGAGGGAGAGGGTGGGGAGGAGGAGAGTGAGGGTGCCTCCCTTTCTATCTCCCTCATTTCATCCTGTGTGTCAGTCTGCCTCCTTAGCCGGTCATGCACTTGTTTATAAAATATCAACTTTATGTTGGCTATGATCTCTTGGTCAAGGGGTTGAATTTTGCTGGTTGCATTAGGAGGCAAAAAGCACACCTGGACATTTGGATGGCGGCCTACAAGATACTTGGCGTGCCCAGGGGCATTATCAAGAAAGAGCAGTATTTTGAATGCCAGGTTCATTAGCTTGCAAATTTCCTTTGCCTCGCACACAAACATATCATCAAACCACTCCACCGACAGAAGGGCATTCATATAACCCTTGGCATTGTTACGCCAATGGACATTGAGTTTGTTCATGTCACAATTTTTATAAGCACGGGGGCGGGCTGCATGATAAATAATAAGGGGTTTCGTGTTTTGGTCACCTGATGCATTGCAGCACAACAGAGCACTAGCTCGATCCTTGGCCATCTTAACACCTCGGGCTTGTTTATCATTCTTTGAAATAAATGTTGCCTGTGGTGACCGCTTCCAATAAAGGCCTGTTTCATTACAATTGTATATCTGGTCAAGTGTATAGCCGCCTTCTTCCACAATCTGTCTTGCTACTTCTGGAAAATATGTAGCTGCAACCTCATCAGCAGGCGAGATTTCACTTTGGTATAATGAATATTTCACACCACACTGACGCTTGAATTTGTCCAGCCAACCTTTTGAAGCCACAAATGAAGGAGGGTTGATTATCTTCTTTTTTTTTCTTTTTTTTACATGTAGCAGCATAGAAAAGTCTGGCCTGATCCCTAATCTGAGGCCCACTGACACTGGCTTTCTTTGTCCTTAGATCTACAGGAAATCCATCTCGTTATAAAGTGTTCAGTCATCACAATTAAGCGGTTTTTGTCTGTTGTTTCTTTCAATGTACCTGCAGCTCCACCTCCTCCACAACCAAAGTATTTTTAGGCCATATTTATACTTTTCTTCACTTCATCTTTCTTTTCCCTTTTTCCTCTCACAGTTGACTCAGGGCAATTCATTAATTTGACTATCTCACTTGTTTTCATTCCACGCTCATTAATACCCACAATATTTTTCTTATCCTCAAATGAGTACTTTTTCATTTTCTTCCCAACTCGATACTCACAAAAATTTTTTCTTTGTTTATACCCCCATCATTTGAGCTGCCAAGGCACTCAGACGGTCTTTCACTACCCCTATCATCCCTTCCAATACCCCTAGGTACTTTTGAGGCCATTAATCTGTGCGAGAACACCGCACCAAGCGAGAGGGAATAAAAAAAAGATACACAAAGGCCAAGGTCACGCAAACAAGCCGCGGGAATGTGGATTGACGCGGTCAAAATGGCTGCCTGAACAGCTGATTGACGCTTTGCACTCGGTAAATACTCACCAATAATACTCACCAGTAGTATTAAGCGAGATTTATCTTGCACTTATTATTCTACAATTATTAGTTGTGATTGCATTGAAATTTAAACTCTCGCCAAAGGTGAGAGTTTGTTCACCAAAATGGAGAGCTGGGTATTTTTAATTTTAAACGCCAACTTTGAATTCGTCAAACTGGAGGGTTTAAAGTCGTACAGTACAGTACAGTACAGTATGTTACAGTATAATTACCCCTTTGTAAGCTGATTTGCTGAGATTTCAAGGGAAATTGCTGTACATGTTGGAATGCATATACATGTACTACCTCTAATAACATTAATTCTTATGGAGAAAATTCACATTATAAATCATCTCATTGTAAGTCGCCCTTCTCAGGAATACATCTCTGATGTATAATGAAGACCCCCTGTACTTATCTTTGGCAAGATAGTTATAAATTTTGCTTGGCCAGACTTTTTTTTTTTCCCCCTCCTGACAAATTTGGGAGAAATTTGCCCTTGTGCCTCCTCTCCCCCACTTCATTTTTTTAATGGGGGTAAATAAACATTTTAGAAAATTAAAATTTATTGTGTAGTGTATATCAACGTACAGGTTATTTAAGTGTTTTTAAATGCTTTTTACCCTCATATTGTCAATTTTCCATGCTTCTTATTCATGTTGATATTTTCACTTCAATTTATGCCACAACTGCTCTAACAGCATTCAGTGGAAGTTTGTATAAAGATTTTCAGGTCGAAATCATTGTAGTAATAGAGGTCAGGTCATTGTGGGAACAGAAAAATCAGGGATCAACTCTTAAATGTGACATCATGATTTGGCATCGCACACACACACACACACACACACACACACCTACCGTCACCTCGTTACCCTGCTGGTTTGACAGACTTCACTGGTTAATCATGTAGAGAGAGGTGGAGTCCTCTCAAAATATTAACTTCTGGTAGTTTCCCAGGCAAGTGGTGGGGTTTGTGAAAAAAAAAATCATCCCTCCAGCCCCTAAGCCAGGCTGCTGGGCACTGCTAAACTACATAGCCTGAGTCACTTACATTTCTTTGACAGATGGAAGAACGTGGGGCTCTGGCATGAGTTACAGAAGGTGAAGGTGTGTCTGACTGAACCAAGGAATAGTGAAGAGTTTGAGAAAATCATGCAAATCTTTTATAGTACCATTGAGGAAACAAGGTGAGCAAGTACAGTACAAGAAAGTGTCATTTATGGATTACCGTATAGTACAGCCTCAAGAATCTAGATTGCTTCCGACTGAATCCTCCCCAGATTTCAAAATAAAACACTGCTCCACAGTAAGAGTTGTTATGAATTTCTAATTTTCCTTTAGAGAAAATCATCCCTTTGTAAAATTAGTAACTTTACTTAAAATTTATAAATTACACTTTTTTCTTTTCTTTTCTTTTTTCCAGACTGGAGACGAGTGGAGTAACCGGGGCCGCCTTCTTGGCAGTGTGTCGGGGTAAAGTCAGTGAAGGTTTAGATTTTACTGATGATAACGCTCGAGCTGTCATAGCGGTAAGTTTATGTACAGTAATAGAAAATCTGACTCATTTTATGACCTACTGCCTGGACCAGATGATTAGTGTACAGTGACCCCTCGGTTAACGAACTCAATCCATTCCAGAAGGTCGTTCGTTAACCGAAACCATTGTTTCAATGGGTTTTTGGGTAATTGGTTCCAGCTCACCGAAAATTTCCTAAATTCAACAAAAATGGTAGAAAAGTTCACTTACTTTGACGTGTGTATGTAGAAGGCTCCTTGATGATGATGATGATGATGATGATGGGATTTAGAATGGGGGTGGAGGAGAAGGAAGAAGAGAAGGCATTGGGGTGGAAGAGAAGTCACCCCATGGTGCCATTTCACCCATAAAATTTTAGCTCTCTTGGTGTAATTCAAGATTATTTTCTTTAAATCAACACTGCACTGCATTATATACTGTATATTCAATATGTAAAATATATTTCAAAATGACCAATAATTTGGTTGGAAACACAGAAAAAGAGCGTTTAGTGGAAGAGAGTCTCAAGCAAGATGTTACCTCCACTGAAAACAGAGAGAGACTAATGCCTGTTTGCCGTGTTAAGAGGCTGGATGCCGCGCATTAAACTAGTCACTTTACCTTCAATTATGTTCAATAATTGTTAAAATTACTAAAAAATTGAATAATAAACTATTAAAATTATTGAATAGTTTAAACTTCTTGATATTTACTAAAATAGTAAGGAATTTAAGCCCTAGAACCGATTAATGTATTGGCGGACTGATACTAAAGCTGGTTGCCCGGTCAGTGCAAGCGAAGACATGTTGAGGTCGGTTCGTAAGAAATTTGTTAACCGAATTTTTGTTCGTTAACCGAATTGAAGATCCTTATGGAAGGCAGTTCGTTAATCGAAATTTCGTTAACCGGGGCGTTCGTTAAACGAGGGGTCACTGTATAGCCTATTATGAGATATTGGAGAAAACCAGAATTTTGAGATATTTTCCTCGAAAGGGCAAAGGGTTAAAATTGAGTGTGATTTTGAATAAGGAAACTCTTCTCTTGGAATTTTAAGTTCATTTAGTTCAGGAATTAAAGAAAATACCAGAAGTCAGGTTTGGAAACTTAAAGGTAACATATAATAAGTGATGAAAAAGTGTTGAAATATTTTTTGAAGGACCATTTCTCACCAAAAATTATCAAAATTTTTGCCCGAGATCCTTAACCCTCTCGTGTATGGGAAAACTTTTTTATCAGTCTTCATTCTCGCCACATTGTGTTTTGTGCCCTTTATGCATGGGGACATTCCATTTTTTTCTTCCTCAAGCTTTAGTATTTAGACCAAAGAATTACTATTTTTGCTTCAGTTTGACACTACAGTATTCATTTCACAGAAGCTAAAAAAAAAAAAATTAAATTACAAAACGACTACATACAGTATACAACACTGTTTTTTTACTCAATGGTTTTAAAAATATATACAGGTATATATTTCCCTACTTCCTATTTCAACAATTTTCCAGGGCCAGATGCAGAAAATAACGAGGTTCCAATGGTGTTAAATTATTTTTATCAATTGTTTTTTAATGTTCTGTTAGTATTAGTGATTAAGAACAATGATTTAGTTTAACTAATAGATTAGATTAAATGAGATTTCCTGGTTTTTATACAGTATATTAGTATTTAACAACAAATATGTAGTTCAGCTCAGCTGATAAGGCCAATTAGTTGAGGTATGTAAGAGATGATCACCTTCCTTCCACTCGGTGGTTATGACATTTTGCACTTTGTGTTATAGAAAAAGTTGCCTTTTACCGTCTCAGTAGTATAAATACATTGTATGACAATTTGGTTATATGCAAGGACCCTTTTTCTGCCAGAAACTCATTATGTGGGAATTAAATTCAGTCTTATGTACTAGGTGAACGTGTGAAGTCATGTCCTAAGCCACTCCCCATGTCTCTCTAAGCCACTCCCCATGTGTCTCTAAGCCACTTTCCATGTCTCTTTAAGCCACTCCCCATGTCTCTCTATGAAATTGCCTCCCTTCAAAAGAAGATAAACTATTGCATACAGCACTGATGAGGAAAAAAGAGGATTCAAATAACCTACCAGTACTGTATCTGCTTTTGAGGAAAGGCTGTTCATGTTCACCTGTACTCTTTTTCTGAGGTTTAATCCCCTTCTAGGAAAATAATCATAAGTTGATTTATATCTTTATAATTCTTAATACTTGCATTTTAAGGATAAGTATGTAAATGTTCCTAATACAGTACATACCTTAAATAAAGAAAGATAAAATAAGGTTTTGGGTAATACTGAAGTTGTAATATTTTCTTCCAGTCTAAAGTTGTTAACTTTTTTACTGCTGAACTCTTAATACAGACTGGTCTCCTATATCCAGGTGTAATGTAAGATTGTGAGATTGACTTGAAGTGCCAGTAAGATATGCTTATGGTTCCATCTTTGTTGCAGGTTGGCATCCCATATCCAAATGTGAAGAATATTCAGGTTGACCTAAAACGTCAGTACAATAATCAGCATTGTCAGACACGTGGCCTTCTAACAGGAGATGCTTGGTATGAAATTCAGGCATATCGGTAAGTGTACTAGTGTGTGTGTCTGTAGTGTGTTGAATACAACTCCTCCCCGACTTACGACAGCCCGCACTTACGACCTGCCTCAGTCGTACCAAAATTTTGTCAAATTGCGTATTTTCGAGTCCCAACGTCAGTACACAGACAAAATTTTCATTTGTAATTCACTTTAAAATGGCGGGCACGTTTAAAAGTGAGAGTTTTGTGGTGCTGAGAAGAAAAAGAGACACCCATTTTAGATTTTCTATGTATTATTTAAGCATTTTCGACTTACGACCACCATTTCGACTTACGACCTGGATTCGGGTCCCTAACCCCGTCGTAAGTCCGGGAGGTGCTGTAATTACAATACATTTATTGTTAGATAATTTTCAGTAGCAATTCATTTTCACTGATTATTTAACACTAAAAATTTTATATGTTTAAAAGTTTATTCTCCAGTTGTAATTTTTACTTTCTATTATTAATGGATATAGAATTTTAAAACTGTGTTATAAATAGCCCCATCAATGTTACAGTAATGGTGTATATTGAGATGTATGTTTATTGCTCAAGTATTTAAATTGCTGCAGCCACATGGGGAATGGGAAGAGTAGGTCGTACCAGAATGACATGTAATGAAATGATGCTTAAAATTTTCCTCTTTGTCTACCATTCAGTGACACAGAGAAAAGTCTGCCATTATTACAGCAGCATGCTTGGTTTACAGGCGATGGCAGTATACTGTACTGTGGATTATGATTTAGCACAAATATGGAATCGAAATTTATACCAGGAATTGTGTGACACTGTTAGTGAGATAACCAGACCAACCAATAGGCTAGTGGCTTACTCCTTTAAACATCCAAGGCCTGGAATAGAATTGATATCTTTTTTCCATTTATGAACTTTCACAAAAGTTTTACTACTTCCCAGGACCTAAGCTGAATAATCATATCACTGCTATACTGTTGCCACTTGATATTAAAGTTGTGCCTAAAGAAACATGTATCTACACCAGCCACAAAAAGTCTTGCGACCTACCCCCGTGCGGTTACATTTTTTGTGACAAACACATGCTTTATGATATATAAACAGTGATAGGCCTGTACTTACCCCCCCATATTAGTATTTGGTGGTCCACCCTTTGTTGTCAATCACCATTTGGAGCCATTTTGGCATACAATCAGACAGCTTCTTGAAGTAATTGACGTCCAAATCATTTAACCACATCTTCCTGAGGGATTCCTTCAGTCTTGGCACGGTCGATGTATCCATGGAATTCAGCTTTTGTTTCATATATGACCAGATATTTTCAATTGGATTTAAGTCTGGTGAATTGCCAGGCCACTGAAGCACTCATATATCATGATCACTGAGCCATTTCATTGATTTCTTAGATGTGTGGCACGGTGCACCATCCTGCATAAACAAGTCACATCCATGAATGTCATAAAATGTGAGCAGGTGCTCATTTGACACCTCGATATACTGGTCACTATTCATTGTAACATTGCGAGGGAGGAAATACAAGCCTCCTCTACCCACAGCACCACTGAAGCACCCCCACACCATCACATGGTCCGGATGTTTCACGGCTTTCTTGGTGTAGCGGTGGTCGAATCGGCTGGCTGTCACTGGTCGTCTTACCCTGTTCCCACTCATCTTTACATACTGAACTGTACTTTCGTCACTCCACTTCACCTTTTCCCACTGCTCTGGTGTCCAGTGTCGATATTTGTGGACAAAAGCAAGACGAGCCTTCCTCATTTTGTCCGTGAGAAGTGGTTTTTTTGCGGGGCGACGACATGGCAAATGCAGTTCCTTTTGCAGGCGATGCTGAATGGTATGCTGTGCCACGTTTCCCAGGACGTCAGGGAGGTTCCTTTGTAACTCAGCTGCTGTAATGTGTGGAGTTTTAAGCACTTCTCTTCACAGAAGGGCATCTGTAATCTTACTAGTTTTGCGTGGACGTCCAAACCGAGGTTTGGCTGGTGGAACAGAGGCAGGAGGCAGGTCACGTGCAACGGCCTTGAGCCGGTGGATGGTGGCTTTGTTTCGTCCCGTACGTCTAACAGTTTCATTCACAGGCACCTTTTCTTCAATTACAGTGAGGATTCTAACCTTCTCCTCTCTTGTAAGATTAGTCCCAGGCATCCTGAACACAATCAATGAAAAATATGGCACATAAACACAGTACACTGGTAATCCACACAAGGGGGCGCTTGGAAAATCTGACACAGATCCACTCAGGATGGCAGCTCATTGAGCACTGCTGGTTTGCTGTGGTTTCCATGACACACCAACCCGGGAGAGTTGCCAAATACTGTCGAATGTCAACTGGGTAATTTTAGAGGCAGATAAATGCAACAATTCCTGCAACATTCACCCCTTGTTATAGAGGGCCGAGAGTCGCACAACTTTTCGCGGTTGGTGTACTTGTCACCTGATTCACCTAATAAGTGTATGTACTTCATGCCACAGAAATAGATGGGTTGTTCAGAGAAAATTATTTAAAGCAAAAAAACAATTCTATGATTCAGTAAATTAATATACGTATTTACTTTTCCTTTTCTTTTACAACCAGTTGCATAATGACTCGGTTGAAACTTTTATACTCATTTGTCAGAATCTAGCAATTAGCAACTTTATATATACAGGTCGACCACTGATTTTCCGGCAATCACTGGTCCAGAACCTCTGATGGTCTGGACAGTTTTACGATGATGGAATTTTAAATTTACAGAACACTTTTGGTGAACAATTGCTACCAGGGATATGCTAATGGTAGCCTAACCTCACCAGGCTGTGAAGTGTTATGGTTATTTTTTAATTCATAATTTCACATTGATATATGAAATTTTATTTTTATTGTTTTTTACTCAGCCTGTACATGCACACACAATCTTACATACAGAATGTGCAAAAACAAACTTATCACAAAGTAAAAAATATAAACGGAAATAAACTTTGTGTGTTAAGAGTTCACGCTGAGTGGGGGAGGGTGAAGTGAAGGATCTCAGCTGTCTCGTGTGTAGTCAAATGATTGACAAATTTCGTTGTCCAGCAGCTAAATTAGAATAGATATACAGTATATATATATTTTTTTTTTATTTAGTATTATTACTGGTACTTTTAATTTATTCCACACATTTTCTGGTGTATATGATATTATCTTATTCCTCATAGGAGTTGGTAACTGGCTGGAATGCCGTTTCAGAGTTGGTAACACTTTTCATAGCGTAAACTGTTGTGGTGATCAAAGCCACTCGTTCGTGTGAATCTGGTGTGTTGTTACAAATTACATCTAGGATTTTACCTATAACTGAGCGGTTCCGTAAAGTCAATTATTATTATAGGAATTTATTATAAAATAGATTAAGATACTGGGAGAAGAGCTGGCGGGTGGCAAAGGAGGGAGGAGAGGAACTCACCTCCCGTGCTCATCATCCTTTATAACACTATGCAATTTCACCATAATTCCCATATTATTTAGGTTCATTTAGTGCCGGGTTAATACAACATTATCAAAAAATATTTAATTTATCCCTAAAATCCCGTACTATTTTCCCAGATGAGCTATTGTGCCGTAGTATACTGTTTATTCTCAGTGGTAACAGCTGATCAATCTTGCTGACATTACTCTCCCTAATAATGTTGCCATCTCTCAAGCACCATTGTTGCCGCTGCTCAAGACGGTTGGTGCTTACCACAGGATCTGTCTTGATCACTTAGTAAATAATATTGTAGTACTGTATATTCATCAGAACTTAATTAATATTATTTTAGTGTATAATTCATCTCCAGATGCCCTGGTTTATTTCAGTTGTCTAAGTGCAAAAGTAGCCAAATTAAACCATATGTATCAATTAATTATAAATTAGAAATTAAAATATTATAAGGCAATGGCTTAGAAGTGCTGTTAATGTGTTTGCTGTGTAAGCGCTTGTTACATCACCTCACCCTTCACATAGCCAGGTCACCTTACAGTGTTATGTTTATTTAGTATTGTGTTATTTACTTTATTAATACTGTACAGTAAATACATTTATAAAATACTTTTGTTTGCACAATAATTATAAGTAGATTATTTTATGTGGCAGCCAAGGCAAGGTGCAAAACCTGGACAGAAAATGAAAGAATAATTGAACAAAAAATTTGGAAATTGTCAGTAATTTGAGTGACCCAGAGCCCCCTTTTTGTTGAATTAATGAGGGTATAGCGTACAGTGATGTCCCAAGTTGAAGAAGATAATCCAGACAGTCCCCCACTTGAGAAATATAATTGTAATCATCTCTGGTAGTGGAAGTAATGCAGCAGTTTATGTAAGTACTCTACTGTAAACAATAAACCTCCATATACCTTTTACTGTACCTGTTTTTCATATAATTTTCTCTCAATAATTGCTTATGTTCTATCATATTGATTTTATAGCAGCCCAGGGTGCTTTAGAGTTAGCGTGAGGTACATAACTATTGGATTGGAGGTTACGTGAGGTTACTGGTCCTGTATCAATCCGGCCCCGATGGTGCCAGAAAATCAGTGGTCAACAAATGGTCCCAAATCCTGACTTATTGAGACACTTTCCCCTCCCCCCTACAAAAATACAATAAAAATTTATCGGCACCTATACATGTACAGTAGCTAAAACAACTATCTGCGCAGGTGGTGGTCGATATGCTCTGAAATTTTACGTGTGACTGGTGACAGCCCTCGTATATCAAAATTTATCGTCCATGGTCTCATATTGTTTCCCACAAAGTATGTACAGATAGTTGTTTTAGCTACTGTACGTGTAATTACTAATTTTCAAAAAGTAACACTTATCAGCACTGCAGGCAAACACTGTAGTATTGTAGTAGGTGACACAGAAGCATGTGACAGAGGTAAGTGAGGTGACACAGGTGATGGAGGGGAAATGCTACATAACAGTAAACAGTGAGGCACGGCACTTATGCATACTACTATAATTTAGTCACTTATACAAAATAAATAAGAAATTTTAACAAAAGTAGGTGTTTTCTCTCCGTATAATTCAAGTCTCAGTATGTAAATAAACACATAACTTATATCACTCAGGATATTATAGTCCACTCTCGTAAACCCGATTTCTTTATTACAGAGTAAAAATTAAAATGCTCTAATGTGGTTTACAAATGAAGAAAATATAATATGAAACTATAAAATAAGAAAAATTAAAAGCATAGGTGTGTGTGTGTGTATGTGTTGAGCGATGGTAAAGTGTCCCACGTGCATGCATGGTGGGAGATGGTTATTGATATTTTTCAACTCGTATTTTTGGGTAGATATACATGTTTTTTTCACTGTTACATACACACACAATCTTCATACAGAATGTGAAGAAAAAAATAAGAAATGATTATCATAAGGTCAAAAACATAAAGATAATTAACACTTCTTACAACTGCTGGCTGGAGTCGTTCTGATTGTGTGAGGAGGGAGCGGTGGTGGAGATCTCATCCACTCCAGTTTCCTGTGTCCTGCGCTTGTGAAACCATTGCCAATGTGGTAGTTGTTCCTTTTATTTTATTTATTAGTACAATTTTTATTTATTCCTCACATTTACTGGTACTACGGTACACACACGACCCTGGTCCCTAATAGCCTTGGATAATGAGGAGTGTACAGTGTATAAAAAAATATGTAGTGAAAGTTTCCGGCTGGGAACGATTCTCCTCTTATTTACTATCTACATTAATTTGGGTAAATTGCCCTGATATTTGCAATGAATTTTAGGAATGCATCCCATGTATATGTAATTTTCTTCCCCTCCCCCCCATATGCATACACAATCGCTCATACAGAATGTGCAAAAAACTAAACGAAAATAATTATCATAAGGTCAAAAACATAAAAAAATACTGTACAAGTAAACATTTTTCTTGTGCAGGAGTTAGCACACGCATTGGGAGGGGGGGATGTTCCTGTGTCCTAAGTGAGACGATTGCCAAATGGCAATGTGGTATTTTTTCTTTTAGTTTGTTAAATAGTAGTATTTTTATTTATTCCTCATAATTATGGAGGGTACATTAAACCATGGAGGGAAAATAATGCTACGCTACACAAAACTAAATGCTGCGGTTAGTGAAATGGTATAGAGTAAAAACCGTGGATACATGGAATCTGTGGTTGGTGAGGGTCTACTGTAATATTTATACAGTACTCATATTTCAGATGTATTTATACAGTACAGTCGGCCCTTAACATACGCGGGGGTTACGTAACAGAGATAGCCGTGGATGTTAAAAATCCGCGTATATGTGCTGCCCCCCCCCCCAAAAAAAAAACCCTGGCCCCCATGTCCTTATTTACCGTATATACCTGTGTGTAGTTCGAGTTTTTAAGACCAAATTATTTGGCAAAAAATTGGGGGTCGACCTCTAAAAGGGTAATAGTTTCGTTAGGTTGAAAAATATTTACCAGTAACTACCAGTAAACAATGGAAACGATGCACCAACACACCACCAGCTGTGAGTGTCGGTACAGTTGCCAGGGCAGATCTCTTGCGTCATCATAGCAAGCCCAAAGTAGCTAAATCCATGGTATGGTAGCACAGGACGATGTAAAACATAAAGTATTCATTTATTAAAGTTTATTTATAGATACTGGACATAAATTTTTGTTCATTACATTTGAAACATCAATCTTTGTTAATTAAATTTGAAACAAAAGAAAACTACGATACCGTATTTTCATTAAAATATTACATCACAAGTATATTTTACCTTAACTGTGACTGAATGAATATACGTATTCTCAGAAATAAATATAGAAATGTAATATTTTTGCTGGAATGACGTACATATTACAGTGGAAAGTGGGATAAAATCATGACGAAAACAATGACTTTCGCTTTCTTTCGTTATTCAAAAGATTTTACCGTAATCGCTTTTCGAATGGTTTTCAGTTAAAAAACTGTTGTACTCGTACTGTATTACAATAATATTCTATCCTATCATTAGCCTTATAATCCCACAACTGAAAACCATTCGAAAAGCGATTACGGTAACATCTTTTGAACGAAAGAAAGAGAAAGTCATTTGCTTTCGTCACAATTTTATCCCACTTTCCACTGTAATACGTACATCATTTCAGCAAAAATATTACATTACCATGTTCTCAGAAATAAATGGTAGTTTTGTTGAAACGTAATGTACAGTATTTAATATTAAAATGCAAAAATAGCTATAAAAACAATTAATACACCCGTAATGTACTGGCTGGCATCTCCACTCGTCCCTCCTCCCATGTCCAAGGTCACCACTCCTCCCAACTCGCTCCCTCCTCTACCTCCTCACCGTCACTACTGCCGACAACAAACACAAATGTGTTGTGAATAACTGCACCTCCAATTCCTATGTACAGTTCTGAACTGTACTGTGCTGTGCATTTTTACAAACAATAAACATGGCAAGAAAAGCTATTAAAAAAAAAGAGATAAAAATTTCACTTTTCTGTACAGTTCCTATCCTCAGCGACAGGACGGGGGTCATCGGGCTCATCGTCACTCAATTCCATAACGGGTGGTGAAGTGGGGGCGACGGTGGATTCAGCTGCTTCCTCACTGCCGCCAGTGATTGATGGTGTTAAATCTCTCCTTCGGTGATCAAAGAACATGGTGATGGGGAGTTGTCGTCTCTTTCATTCATTTCTTCCATGATGTTTTTGTATGGAGCGAAAACGTCATCCATCCCTCGCATGAATTTCAGGGCACGCACCATGGAGGGGTCCATACTATAGGCCAGGTTTTTCAGTGCCTCAATATTCCTGGTCATCTCCCCCAACTTCTCCAACGTTATTTCTTGGTGCTCTTCCTCATCCTCTTTCCCTTTCGCTTCCTCTTCCTTGCCTGAGTCTACTAACTCCTGTAGATCCTCCTCAGTCAGCTCAGTGTCGTGCTCTTCAATTAGCTCCCTAATCTCGTCCTCTGCCATGTCCTGGAAGCCTTCAGCAGCCACTTTCCTTGACAGTGCCAGGGTCTTTCTGAATATTTTCATTAAAATCCATCAAAATCAGTTTCCTTGTCATCGTCTTAAGCACCAAACAGCTCCTCCCAGTCTTCTCCTTGAACAGGGCTAGAGGATACGTGTTTTTCGAATCGTTTTCAATTAAAAAAATGTTACAGCACATGTATATTTTACCTAAACTGTGCCTGAATGAATATATTCTCAGAAATAAATAGTAGTTTTGCTGAAACGTAATGTATTTCAATGTAAAATAGGATAAAATACATGACGAAAACAAAAGACTTTACCTAACCTCCCAATGTTCAAGAGATGTTACTCGTTTTTTTTAATAGTTTTCGGTTAAAATACTGTTATATTACATTGATATTATATTCATATTGTGCTTGATATACTACATTCATGGAAATGTAATATTTTTACTGAAATGACGTACATATTACAGTGGAAAGTGGGATAAAATCGTGACGAAAACAATGACTTTCGCTTTCTTTCGTTCAAAAGATGTTACCGTAATCGCTTTTCGAATGGTTTTCAGTTAAAAAAACTGTTGCATCGCAAGTGAATTAGGATAGAACATTATTGTAATACAACAGTTTTTTAACTGAAAACCATTCAAAAAGCGATTACGGTAACATCTTTTGAACGAAAGAAAGCGAGTAATTGCTTTCGTCACTTTCCACTGTCATACGTACGTCATTTCAGCAAAATATTACATTTCCATATTCTCAGAAATAAATAGTAGTTTTGCTGAAATGTAATGCATTTCAATGTAAATTAGGATAAACTACATGAAAACAAAAGACTTTACCTATCCTTCCAATGTTCAAGATATGTTACTCGTTTTTTTAGTAGTTTTCGGTTAAAATACTCTTATATTAGTGATATTCTATTCATACTGTGCTTGATATAATACATTCACGGAAATGTAATATTTTTGCAACTACAATGCTGATGTCAACACAAGCGTGGTTACAGCGAGACTGACTGAGTGAGGGAGAGCTATGCGTGGTGTGAGGTTGCGGGAGTGGGCGGTGTCCCGTGTTCGGTGCCGCGCGCGAGTTGAATGTACTTCAATTACTTCACTGTACAGAATATTCCTCTGGCGGGGCAATCCGCGTATTTGCAAATCCGTGTATTACAAACCCGCGTATGTTAAGGGCCGACTGTATACTAATATTTCAGATGAACTGTTAATACATATAATGTTAGTCATAATAAAATTGGGTGTGTAGAAGAAAACTTTGTTGTGTTCTAAACAAAGAAGCCAAAGGATGACATTTCAATCATGCTTATTCTTATTTCAGGGCGATTAATCAAGCTCTAGGAAGATGCATTCGACATCGCTATGACTGGGGTGCTCTGATATTAGTTGATGAACGATACCAAAGAGGCAGTCTTGAAAGTGGATTGCAAGAAAATAAGTATACCCGTGGCTTGTCCAAGTGGGTGAGGAATAAAATTGTTCACTCCCCCAGTTTCTCCGTGGCTATCTCAAACCTTCAACATTTTACAGAAAATATGATTGCACATCCTCCAGTGAACCCAGAAAGGTTAGAAATTTCTATTTTTGTATTGTTGATGACATGTGCTTTTTATATTTACTGTGTTAAATACTAATGAGTGCCTTTGTTTATATAAAAAAAAAATTATAAAATATATATTTTCAGACTTGATGAGACAGTGGCCTTTGCAATGGATGTGGAGATGGTAAAACCTGCCGAAACCAGTTCTTGTGTTTCAGTTGATTGCAGCAATTCAAAAATGCAGAACAAAATGAATGAATCTTCAGATGTACTTTTCCGTGGTCTCAAGTCAAGTCCACTTCACTCAAATTCTAAATTACCTAATCTTGCATTGGATAATATTTCTACTGAAGTTAACAGAAAAAGTAACATGAGAGTTGACCCACAAGGAAATAATGAATCATGTTTATATACAGGGATTAGTGCAAGTATTGTAAGTAAACCACATGGTAACTTCATTGACTTGAATAAGGAAGGAGATATTTTAATTCCATCAGGTAAACTTCCTTTCACATCAACTCAGATAACAAGCTCAAGAGAAGTAGTGCCACCTCAAATGGTTTCCAACACCTCACATAAAAAATATTTGAAGACAAAGAGTAATTATTTTTTTAATGCCTTAACTCTGACTGACAACAATCTTGCATTAAAAAGCAATTGTGTTGAAAAAATTGCAGAGGTCCAACCTACAAATTTGGACCCACCATGCAAGAAGAGAAAATCATATTCAGCAAAAGCTAAAAAATCCAAAACAGGTGAGAATGATGAGAAAAACTTGAAAAAGGTTGAAACCTCTAGGTCTTCTAATGACAGTACATACATCTTTGAATATATTGATGAAAATGTTAAGTCTAATGTGTCACCACTGAAAGTACTGCTGGAAAATGAAATGAAAGAAAAAATCCCCTTAAAGCATACCATCCATAGTAATAAAACAATGGAAAAAATTCAAAGCAGTGGTACAAAAATTTCTGGAGCAAGGAAAAGCTTAGCATTTGAAACAATTGATCAATGTGAAGGTGAAGTATCAATTAATCATGAAGAACCCAGCTCTCTGCCAATGTTTGATTTGTATGAAAATCAGCATTCTGGTGATTCTCCTTTCAATCCTTCACAGAATATACACTCAACTGAAACACGTCAAAAAGAACTATCAATGGTGAAAGGCAACTGTGATGAAACAATCGAAAAGACAAGCAGCTGTTCAACTGGTGGAGATGTCAGAACAACAGGAAATCTTCCTCACAAATTAGAGTCACCTGGAAGTAAAAGAGTCAAAGGTAAGTTTAAAGAACATGTTCTATAGTGCCTGAGCAATTACCTGTTTTCTGTTAAGGTCTTTTGATACTAATATAGATGTAATGATATTGAATTGGGCTTACCAAGGTTTGTTGTAAGTGATGTACAGTCATGCTAATGGACTATTGGGTCTTGATTACCAGTAGCATGGCCTGTCATGATGGAAGCATATAAGAATTAAATGTCTGTGGAATTCATTGTGAGTATACTGTATAGGGAAGAGTGAGGGTGTTATAAAGATAAATAATCAGACTTACCATGTCAAGGATTGGTCCATAATGCTGTGGTGCCTCCTACAGCTATGAGAACGACTTCTGCTTGAATTTTGATGTGTTTTTTGCTGGCTGGCACAAAGCTTCTTGAAAGCTTCTTTCGTTCAAAAGATGTTACCTTAATTGCTTTTCGAATGGTTTTCAGTTAAAAAAACTGTTGCATCACAAGTGAATTAGGATAGAATATTATTGTAATACAACAGTTTTTTAACTGAAAACCATTCGAAAAGCAATTACGGTAACATCTTTTGAACGAAAGAAAGCGAAAGTCATTGCTTTCGTCACTTTCCACTGTAATACGTACGTCATTTCAGCAAAAATATTACATTTCCATATTCTCAGAAATAAATAGTAGTTTTGCTGAAACGTAATGTATTTCAATGTAAATTAGGATAATCTACATGAAAACAAAAGACTTTACCTAAACTTCCAATGTTCAAGATATGTTACTCGTTTTTTTAATAGTTTTCGCTTAAAATACTGTTATATTAGTGATATTCTATTCATACTGTGCTTGATATAGTATATTCTCGGAAATGGAATATTTTTGCAACTACAGTATTACCCCGCTTTACGCGGTTTCACTTTATTCACTTTACACGGTTTCACTTTATTCACTTTACGCGGTTTCACTTTATTCACTTTACGCGATTTCTCATATACGCGGTGACTTGCCAGAACCAAACTTTCACTTTCCGCGGTTCATCTACCCATATACGCGTGAAGTATAATTTTTTTTTTTTATTTAGCTCATAAAATTCATACAAATTACCCGGCCAGAATATAATTTACATTGCTGGAATTCTTACAATTTGATGATCATTTTGAATATAAACATCATAGATTTTGCATTAGACATACAAATTTTAGATGTAATGTTTACTCTGAGTAAATATGTTATCTTTTATGCAAAATATATGACATTTATATTCAAAATGTTCCTGGTCTTATAAGGAATCCAGCAATGTCAATTATATTATCCTAACTTTAGTCTGAGTTATTATTTGTTACTAAAAGTTAAAATTAGTTTTTTCACCCAACATTTCTCTGGTATGGAGGGAAGGTGGGGGATGGGGGGGAGGGTTGGGACCGACCGACCATCTGGCGCGGTTGGAAGAGGGGGGAGGCAAGTTGGGGTACTTTGATTGACAGGTAGTGTCGTGAAGAATATTTTTTTTTTTATAAACTGAAGATATTTGTTTTAGCTCGTAAAATTCATACAAATTACTGGACCAGAATATAATTTACAATGCTGGAATCCTTACAATATGATGATCATTTTGAATATAAACATCATGGATTTTGCATTAGACATACAAATTTTAGATCTAATGTAATAATTTGGTTTACACAAAGCAAGTATTTTATCTTTTGTGCAAAATATATGAAGTTTCCATTCAAAATATTCCCTGACCTGCAAGGAATCCAGAAATGTCAATTATATTATCCTAAATTTAGTCTGAGGTGTTATTTATTACCAAACGTTAAAATCTAGTGTTTCACCCAATCATTTCTCAGAGAGGTAGGAGCCAGTGAGCTGGGAAGAGGGGCGGGGGGGATTTGAGTCTATTATTTGAATGGACATTAACCTGGCGACTGTATTTCTCTTAAATATTAATTGTGTGAGCACACCATCATAAAATTTAGATGTTATTTTTACTACAACATAGGTATTGTGTCGGAAAAAGTGGAGTTTGGGGGTCGGGCCAGTCTCTATTGGAATTAATCCCATATGTTCTGTTGTTCCATTTACGCAGATTTCACTTAATGGGTGCCCTGTGGGTTCAATTGACCGCGTAAATCGGGGTACTACTGTACAATGCTGATGTCAACACAAGCGTGGTTACAGCGAGACTGACTGAGTGAGGGACAGCTATGCGTGTGTGTGTGAGGTTGCGGGAGCGGGCGGTGTTCGGTGCCGCACGCAAGTTGAATGGCGCGCGATTTGAATGTACTTCAATTACTTCAATGTACAGAATATTCCTCCGGCGGAGCAATCCGTGTATTTGCAAATCCGTGTATGCTAAACTCGCGTATGTTAAGGGCCGACTGTATATATATATATTTATATTTATTTATATTGTACTTGTAGAGCAGTATTACCGTAGTCAGTATAATGAGGTAAATTTTAATCTTCATGTAGTCAAGAGTGTACCTGTACAGGTAGTTCTGCTATAATGCGATAATTGTGTTCTTGTAAAATATCGTGTTATAGAAAATCGCGTAATAGAAATAACAGGGCTTATGGAGAAAATAGGGTTAGGTGCAGATTACTCGAAATCGAAAAAATTTAGTAGTTCGCATAACACAAAGGATAGCACAGTCTAAATAAATGTTACATTCATATCTAATAATGAAATCATACAGTAAATGTAACACTTTACTTGATGGGGGAGAAGGGTGATTTTGAGGTTGATAAAATCGAGCTTCTCTTCAAGTGTTATATCCTTTCTTTTACGATCATCACCGGGAATTCTATCACCAGAACGCTTCTTGTTGGTATTCTTCTTTACTATATTGCTTACTATATAAAAATAAATTTTTTTTTATATAAATTTATTTTTTATATATATAAAAATATATTTTTTTATATAAAATTTTTTTTTATATATAAAATTTTTTTTTATATATAAAAATAATTTTTTTTTATATAAAATTGTTATTTTTTTTATATAAATTTTTTTTTATATAAATATATTTTTTTTTATATAATTTTGTTTTATAAATTTTTTTTTTATAAATTTTTTTTTATATAAAAATATTTTTTTATATATACAAATATTTTTTTTTTATATATAAATTTTTTTTTATAGTTTTTTTTATATAAAAATTATTTTTATATAAAAATATTTTGTTTATATATATTTTGTTTTTTTATATAAAAATGTTTATTTTTTTTTATATAAAAATATTGTTTTTTTATAATTTTTTTTTATATAAAAATATTTTTTTTTATATAAAAATATTTTTTTCTATATAAATTTTTTTTTTTTATATAAAATTACAAATTTTTTTTATATATGTACTATTTTCATATAATTTTTTTTATAAATATATGTTTTTTATATATATATATATATATATATATATATATATATATATATATATATATATATATATATATATATAATATTTTTTATATAAAATTTTTTTTTATTTTTATAAAAATATATAATTTTTATATAAATATATTTTTATATATATATTTTTTTTTTTATAATTTTTTTTTATATAATTTTATATATAAAAAATATTTTTTTTTATATAATTTTTTATAAAAATTTTATAATTTTTGTTTTTTTATATAAATTTTTTATATAAAATTTTTTATATAATTTTTTATTTTTTTTATAATCTTTGTATAAAAATTTTTTTTTTATATAAAATAATTTTTTTTATATAAATTTTTTTTTTATATGAAAATATTTTTTATATAAATTTTTTATAATTTTTTTTTATATAAAATTTTTTTTTTATATAAAATTTTTTTATATAAATTTTTTTTTTTATATATAAATTTTTTTTATAAATTTTATAATTTTATATAAATTTTTTTTATAATTTTTTTTTTATAAAAATTTTTTTTTTAATTTTTTTTATATAAAAATATTGTTTTTTATATAAAAATTTTATTATTTTTTTTTAATTTTTTTATATAAAAATATTTTATATAATTTTTATATATAAAAAAAAATTTTATATAATTTTTTTATTTATTTAAAATATTTTTATATAAAAATTTTTCTATAAACAATTTTTATATATAAATTTTTTTTTATACTGTACAATTTTTTTTTATATAAAATTTTTTTTAATTTTTTTATAATTTAGTTTTTTATATAATTTTTTTTTTAAAATTTTTTTTTATATAAAAAATTTTCTATATAAATTTTTTTTTTATATAAATATTTTTTTATATAATTTTTTTTTTATTTATTTTTATTTTTTTTTTTTTATATAGTAAGCAAAAATCGCGTTATAGCAAACAAGCGTTCGCATTATACAATTATCGTTCCTAATTCATAAATCGCGTTAGAGCAAATTCGCGTTATCAAAACACTCGTTATAGTAGAACTCACTGTACTTACAATAATGACTTGTAAATAAGAATATTTTCAGTCATTTCATATTAAGAGCTTTATGTTGAACATATACTGTATATAATATAAGAATATTTTAATATATCTTTTTATATTTTCAGAATTATGCAACACAAAAAAGAGACCCAAATCTAACAGAAGGATATCAAGTTTTGATTCAATTATTTCAGAAGATGATTCAGATCTGGACGATTTTAATATGAGTACGGTATGTAAAACCCACTCATCAAGAGCATTGTCTCTATCTGTTAAATTACTCAAAAAGTTTAATGTGCTTTGATGAAGAATATTTGTAGTTAGTGCATGGGAAGAGATATGCTGGAAAGAATTATGGTCAAGTTCATGCTAAACTTATTTAGGTCTAGGAATATACCATGTGAATAAGAGGAGACTGTAAGGACAAGTTGTGTGAAAGTGGAAGGGTTATTGAGAACGAAATTTTACCATTGAAGAAACATAATAAACCAAGTGAAGAGGTATAAATTTTCAGCCATTTCTTTTAATCACCATTGTTAGTTAATACCAACCTTAATAATGTACAGTTCTGTATAACCTCAGATATCCAGCATTTAACCATCCGGAGCTCTCAAGCAGTTGGCATTTTTTAAAAACTCAAGTGCCCTTAGTGAAGAAAAACTAGTTTTAAGTGTAATCTTGAGGAATTTTAGTGTTTAAGGAACTTAACAAGTCTGAAAAAGAGTAATGAACTAAGTGATTACTGTACCCATATTTACTCAAGCTCAACAAATAACTGTATCTGCTACTGTACTCCAGGATTACACACACACACCACTGCAGTGGTACAGCCCTTTTATTCCTTTTATAATGTGGTGTGAGAGGGGGGGGTGTTGCCTCCCTTCCTCCTCAAGGAGGAAAGAGCTTCCCGTACTGGAAGGGTCATCAGGGAGGGATGAGACTAAATGGTTCTCTTGGGCTGCTAGCCTTGAGAGCTAGCTAGTGGATCTTTCCTCCAGCCCAGTGTGCAAGGGCTGGAGAGTAGCTCTCCCACATGTTTGCCATGTGTGGATATGTGGCGACCCGTAAGGCTGGGAGACGGGAATCCTGGAGGTTGACCGATGTTTCGCCCTGTGGCTAGCAATACACCTTTTCAGTCCCTTTTTCTAGTAAGACAGGAGGCTTGATTTATGGCCCAGTCAGGTCAGTATGGCTGGCCTCTGGGCCACTCATTTGGCTAGGGTGAAGCAGGCGCCACAAAGTCGACACCCCTTTGGTCCCATGGGTGTCATCAGACTTAGTGGCAGCCTGCTTATACCTCCCCACTACCCTTGGGGCTATTCTGTGGCCTCTCCTTGTTGGACTCCATAGTGGGTGGTTGGGGAGGGAGGTGGAAGAATGGAAAAAAAATTATGGCATCCATACCCTTAAATTCCAAGCCTGACTCCCAACCCTAATGACCCTGGCTTATCAATGGACCAATCTCCTGGAGCACCTTCATTAGTGGCCACTCTGGAGCCTTTTGTGCCCAGCAATGGCCAACATTCTCGTCAACATTGGGGACCTCCTCGGCAGACTGCTGTCATGAGAAAGACCCTACCTGGTGTCTTTGAACCTGACTTATTTGATAAATATTTAGTCTTATCATCACAAGACATTATCTAAATGACCAAAATATTTTTCAGACAAACTGAAATATTGTACAAATACAGTACTCTGTATGTGGATGTGCACCAAAAGTTGTGCCCCAAGCCTTATGGTGGAAGCATCATCTTAAGAGATGAGTAATACAGTAAGTCCTCGTTTAACGTTGCCCCCAGCAACGTTGTTTCGTTATTACGTCGCTACTCTTTAGATACCCATGATTCGGACAACATCTAGCCGATTCGGTATAACATCGTCACGGACTACTTTGTATGGCACATCACCCTCTCTCACCCAATCAGAGCAGTAGGAGGAGCCACCCTCCGGGTCTCAGTGACTCACCACCCTCCTCTTCTCCCGCCCTCCTCCTCTCCCGCCCTCCTCCTCTCCACTACTCACCACACACTCGCTCCACCTCCGCCCATCAGTGAGTACAATACAAAATTATTGAGTTTATTTATCTTTTGGGATGTATAATATATACTATTTTCTATAAAAGTTCCATTGAATTTCAGTATATGTAATGTATTTTATGGGGCAAAGGGAGGCTGGGGAACATAACTCCCATATTTTATCTCTTTCTTATGGGGAAAATTGATTTTGTTACCGTCTCGGTTTTCAGGAACGGTACCACGATGTTAAGTGAGGACTTACTGTAATCTTAAGAATCTTAAATGTATTGTTGGAGCTACAGTGTATTGCTCCCCACACAGCAGCATAAACCAGACCCGAGGTGTGGTGTATAGTGCTCAGCTACTCCGATACTCAAAAGAAACCCTCCAGCTGGAGTTTGCAGGTCAAGAAGTAATAAAGGTAGAGAGATTCAAGAAAAAGGTCGATGGAATTTTAACACCTACACTGTCTCTAATCATCACATTCAATTGATTAACTCTTCCTGAGAACATGATGGCAGCTTGGTATAGACTAAAGATTAGGCTGTATGTGCTCATGCCAAGAAGATGTTTTTATTGCCAAAAGTTTGAACAAATGTCAACTATCTGTCGTAGACTCCAACTAGGTCTACCTGCTGTATGTGCCTCATGTGGGGTTGATGTTTGTAAGGATCAAGAGTGTACAAGCCCTGCATCATGCATTAATTGTGGAGAGGGACATGCATCAACACTTAAGTCCTGCTAAATCTTCCTCTTTCAAAAGCAAGTGCTGATTCTATGGGCTAAGGAGCTCATTTCCTTTAAAGAGATGAAAGAGTGAGTCTCAGCCACTTTTCACACTGACACTACATTTGCCAGTATAGTGTCTCAGACAACCTCCAATAACCAGAACCAGAATACAAATAATATTGCATCCACAATAAAACCTACATCATCTAGACCAAAAATGTCAAGCCTAAAGATATGTAGTCTTTCTCGTTATGTTAATCTCAAAATATCCACATCATTAGTTAGTGTACTATCTGCACCTGAGATAAATGAATCCCAGAAGCCCACTCCTTCAGCCCCTTGTTCTCAAAAGGAAGAGTGTCTGGGTAACAAAAGAAACCATAGTGAAGAATCTTTAGGGGGGACACCCCCTCCAAAGGTTCAGCCCATAGAATCATCAAGAGGTTACTTGAGGGCTAGTGGGGTGTTGGCTCCTGTCAACACTCCCTCCTCAGAGTTACCGACTGATATGCATTCAGTGAACTACAAAGGTTTCTGCAAAACTGCCAGCAACAGCAAGAGCCAGTCAACCACAGAACCTTGATCCTGTGGGTATAAAGATATTTGGTAGGTCTGGGTGGGTGACAACGGATACCAACAGGCCCCCTAAGCCTGGGGTATCACCATCGTTCACTGGGATTCTGAAAAATGCAGGTACACCATATCATTCCCCTACCTCCAAATCGGTTTCCCCAATCAAATTCAAAAACTCCTTCTGAAAAACCCCGTTGCTGGAAGTCAATATAAATAATATTCACCCTGATGCAATGGAATATCCAAGGGCTTAAGGCTAATTGGGGGCCTCTTGCCATTTTACTGTCTCACCTTTCACCAGTTTGTCTATGTTTGTAGGAGATGATTATTGGTGAAAGCCACCATCCTCTTTCTCATGGTTATCAAGCCATATATTCTGATCCAATAGGAGATGGTGGTCATCATGGAGGCAGTGCCATCCTTGTCTCCACCTCCAAGAATATTCCATTCACCACTATGCAGCTGCATTGCCCCCTGCAAGCAGTGGCTGTTCACCTTCATCTAAGAAGGGTGTATGCTGTCTGCTCACTCTACCTCCCTCCTGGTACACCAGTGTCCAGGACAGATTTAATTAACCTAATTGGGAAGCTTCCTCCTCCATTCGTAATTTTGGGGAATTTGAATGGGAGAAGGAGATTGTGGGGAGACAATGCGACCAATTTATGAGGAACTGTGTTGGAGTCTGTGGTACAGGATCTGCAGCTCCATATCATGAACACTGGTGTCCCAACCCATTGCCATGTGCAAACAAGAACCCACTCTGTCATAAGACCTCTCCTTGTGCTCTGCAACACCAGGCATGGATTTTTTGTGGGAAATCTGGGATGATCTATGTGGGAGTGATCACTTCCCAGTCATCCTTCGCACACCGGATGTGATCGGCCCTAACTGTCTTCCTTACTGGTGTCTGGACAGGGCTGACTGAAGCCATTTCAAACTCCTAGCTGAGTTAGAAAGAGAGGTGGATCACTTACAGATGATGGAAGAAGCAGTGGAATACTTAACCTCGATACTCTTTAGTTCTGTTGAACAAACCATCCCCAAGACTTCTGGGTTTTCTAAAAAGCAGCCAGTCCTATGGTGGTCTAAAGAATGCTTGTAAAATATTAAAGGAGGCACGACGTAAGTCTTAAGCAGAGTTTGTGAACACAATAAACACTCGAACATCATGTCAAAAGTGTGGAAGAGAGTGAGAAGGATTGATGGGAAGCACTCTCCCAGCACACCCCCTATCCTGACAATAGATAGATGGTGGTGTGTCATCAGAGGCATTTGCTTCTGTATCACAGAGAGGTGGTCAATTAGCCTCCTTGTTCCAGCAACAAGAGGCATATGATAGAGCCTGAAGGTTTGGGATTTTAAAAGAGCTACATCACTGTGGACTCCGAGGACAGATACCCCATTTCCTTAAGTCATTCATGGCAAACCGTGCTTTTCAGGTGAGGGTGGGTACCTCACTGTCCAGATCATTTCACCAGATGGAGGGGATACTATAGGGCACAGTTTTGAATGTGGCCCTTTTTGCCATGGCAATTAACAGTGTCACCTGATATCTTTCACCAGGAGTCTCTAGCACACTATATGTACATTGGCAGTGATTCAAGTGTCCCAATGGGCAGAGGAGAGTGGCTTCAGGTTCTCAACTTGTATTTCTGTCAGATCTGGGGTCTCCACCCTGACCCCAATTAATATTATATGGTACCTGCATTCCGGTAGTGAAAGAGACACATTTCCTAGGCCTGGTGGTAGATAGGAGAATAACTTGGATTCCCCACCTTAGATCACTTAAGACATCATGCTTAAAAGCCCTTAACCTTCTAAGGGTCTTATCCCATGCATCCTGGGATGCTGACCGTAGGACCCTCTCAAGACTATGCTATCGTGGGGTCAAAGCTGGCGTATGAATATGAGCTGTACTCTTCAGCCACATCGGCTGGACTAAAGAACATAAGATACATTACATTACCCTGGCATCTGTTTGTCCACAGGAGCCTTTAGATCCTCCCCAATAAACAGTCTTCTGGTGGATGCTGGATTACCACCACTGGATATGTATCAGCAGTCCCTAATGGCTTGCTGGTGCCGAGTACAGCGTCTCCATAGATCTCCAACATGTGAGGCCATATCTGATATATTCATGGACCACACATTCCCCAATCCTTTGACTTTTGTGTCCAGGAGCTGGTTAACTAACTAATCACTTCTCCAACTCCCGGTCACCCCAGTGAACGTGCTGAGAGTGGCCCCATGGGACCTACCAGTAACGACAGAGGTGGTACTCCCAGGGAGCAAGGTTGATATTAATGAAGTGATGGCCAGGATGTATTTCAAGGAACATGCAACTTAACATAATGGCTCAGTGCATGTTTATACAGATGGCTCCAAATCCAACACTGGTGTTGGGTTTGGAGCCATCTGCCCTGATTTTAGCTGCAGTGGGGGACTTCTTTGAAATTTTATAATCTCATCCACCCTCTCGTTTTAGATATCTTTAACTGGCTAGTGGTCCTCTGTCGGCAGGGCCATAATGTGGATTTCTGTTGGGTTCCTGACAAGGTGGCCAAGTCTGCTGCATCTCGTTATGCCCCTCTATGCTCCCTCCCTCAGAGATTTCTTCCCTGCAGTCAGGTCAGCCATCCGGTCATTCTGACAGCTACAATGGGATAATTTATCCGTTCCCAACAAGTTTAAGAGATTACCAAAAAAGATCTCTGTCTGTGAAAATATTCATTGATGCCCTGCCGCCATGAGACTGCCCTTACCCATCTACGTATTGGACACACTCACCTAACCAGCAGTTTCCTAATGGCCAGAGGACCACTGTATCACTGTGATGACTGCCTGGTGCCACTGACTGTGGAGCACTTGCTGGTAGAGTTTCCCAACCATGGGGACTTGAGGAGTCAGTTTTTGGCCGAGTGCCAGTCGAAATATGGCTCTTTCTCCATCTTAAAGGTGCTCAGCAAGAGAAGTTCAGTACAGTACCTGATGTTGGACGTTTAAAATTTTTAATTGCAATAAAGATACTTACCTGTTGTACCTGTTGTAATTTTAAATAAATACAGATTTTTATGTTATTTTAATTTTGATATTTAAACAACAGGATTTAATTTTATTTACAGTATATAATTTTAAATTATAAGTTTCATTTTCGGCGTCAAATGGCTACAGGCTGCCACGGTAGATATTTTCATAATACGTACTGTATTTACTATGTCCTTTTATTCCTTTTATAATATTTACTATGACTATGTTCTTGAGTTTGAGATGTGTATTTGTAAGGGCAACTCTCAAACATCCAAAAAAACAACAACAAAAACACTATTATCTGGCTAACTCAATTCCCCATGCATTCTGGATATCTGAGGTTATACTGTACTGGGACTGTGCTCAGTTTATCATTCATTTATTTACTTTTTTTTTATCCTACTTGAGGTGGGTTTGAGTTAGTTAAACTCATCCATTATTGGAACATTCATGTAATATTCACAGGAATATAACTTTGTGTGACAAAGAATGAGCAACCTAGGCTTTTACTTTTAAAAAAAGGATAAGATGTATTATGATGAGTAAAAATCATTGGAAATATTTCAGAGCTTCAGCAGCATTGGAGATCATCAAACACTTCGTGATAAACAATCAACAAGTATGCTCAAAGGTGTCCAGTATATTGAGTATGATAGTGATTGATCAAAGGGTCTTCAATTTGAGGATTTTTATTACTGTACTGTATATATCTATTTTTTATTTTATTTTCTATGAGCTCTTATAATTTTGTAAAACTACATATTTCACGGGGAAAGTTTGGAGGTTCAGATGCAATTCTAGTGAATTTGTAGTTTCACTAATACATTTTAGTAATCTCTGAATTTTATGTATTTTGTATGTTAATAAAAAAGTTCCTACATATATACAGTATACTCTTTTAACACACCACTGATTTTGCAACCTCCTTTTTCTTCTTTCATGTGGGTGGTGGTCGCAGGAATGCGGTGGTGGTGGCAGGTGGTCATGGGAGTGGTGGTCACGGGAGGGTGGTGGTGGTCACAGGAGTGTTACTGGTGGTGGTGGTGGTCACAGGAGTGTAGTGGTGGTGGTGGTGGTCACAGGAGTGTAGTGGTGGTGGTGGCTGGTGGTCACAGGAGTGTTGTGGTGGTGGTGGTGGTCACAGGAGTGTAGTGGTGGCTGGTGGTCACAGGAGTGTTGTAGTGGGTAATGTGAGGTAGTGGTGCTGGTTAGTGTTGATGGTGGTGAATGTTGTTGTCGGTGGTGGTGAGTGTTGTTGTTAGTGGTCAGTGTTGTTGGTGGTGGTGGTGGCAAGTGTTATTGGTGGTGGAGGTCAGTGTTGTTGGTGGTGGTGGAGGTCAGTGTTGTTGGTGGTGGCAAGTGTTGTTGTTGGTGGTGGTGGTGGTGGTGGCAAGTGTTGTTGTTGTTGGTGGTGGTGGTGTGTTGGAGTGTTGTTGGTGTTGGTGTAGGTGTGTTGGAATGTTGTTGGTGGTGGTTGCACCACCGCCCCTGGGAGGGCCCATGGGGTAGCCACCGTCCCTGGAAGAGCCCCTAAGGTGCTGTTGCCCTTTGGAGGTCCCCCTGGGACAGTTGTTCTTGTACTATTTTGAACTCTGAGAGATATGACCTAAAATACATGCACCGCCCATCACATTTCCAGTATCCACGCATCCTGAATAATGAAAAGGAGATTATATATCCAACAGGAAAACACTGATTGCACTGTTCTCTTATTGGATATAATTTGGTGAATATACATTTTAGTCCACCAATCACAGTGAAGTAAGTAATTGCTGGACGTATGCAGTATGTGCACTGTCTGGGGGTGCCACTGCCCCTGGGAGAACCCCTGGCAGTGTCACCGCTTCTGGGAGAGCCCCTTCGGCACCACAGCCCCTGGGAGGGGCCCGAGGGATGCCACAGCACCTGGCAGTGCCCCTGAGAGAGCCTCCATCTTTGGGAAGGCCCCTAAGGGCGCTGCCGCCCCTGGGAGGGCCCCTAGGGCACAACCACGCCTGGCAGGTCTCCTGTGGGTGCCGCCATCCCTGGGAGGGCTTCTAATGGTACTACCGCGTCTGGGATCGCTACTACCCCTAACAAGAACACCTTGAGGGCCCCACCACCCTTGGGAGGATCCCTAAGGAAGCCATTGCCATTGGGAGAGGCCCCTGGGGGCACACCCCCCCGATAGAACCTCCGTCGGTGCCGCCACCCCTGAGAGGGCCCTTGCGGGTGCAGCCGTCCACGGGTTGGCCTCTGGGCGCGCCGCCATTCGTGTATGCATTCCTGGGTGGGCCGCCACCCTTGGGAGAGCACCACTGCCCCTGGGAAGAACCTTGGGACTCAGTCGCCCCTGGAATAGACCCTGCGGGGCACCAATGTCCCTAAGGAAAGGTAGTGTCACAAAATGGGAAATATCTACTTTCTGGGAAAGTTGGTTCTCTACTTCCCGAAAAATAGATTATCTACTTTTTGGGAAAGTAGATTATCGACTTTTTGGGGAAGTAGATTATCTACTTTGGGGAAATATTACCTAATTTTCCGAAGTAGATTATCATAGAAAACGGGAAATTTGTATCACAGAAAATGGGAAATATCTACTTTCTGGGAAAGTTGGTTACCTACTTATCATAGAAAATGGGAAATTTGTATCATAGAAACTGGGAAATATCTACTTTCCGGGAAAGTTGGTTATCTACTTTCCCGAAAAGTAGATAATCTACTTTTCGGGAAAGTAGATTATCGACATTTTGGGGAAATAGATTATCGACTTTTGTGGAAATATTACCTAATTTTCCGAAGTAGATTATCATAGAAAACGGGAAATTTGTATCAAAGAAAATGGGAAATATCTACTTTCTGGGAAAGTTGGTTATCTACTTATCATAGAAAATGGGAAATTTGTATCATAGAAAATGGGAAATATCTACTTTCCGGGAAAGTTGGTTGTCTACTTTCCCGAAAAGTAGATTATCTACTTTTCGGGAAAGTAGATTATCGACTTTTCGGGGAAGTAGATTATCTACTTTGGGGGAAATATTACCTAATTTTCCGAAGTAGATTATCATAGAAAACGGGAAATTTGTATCACAGAAAATGGGAAATATCTACTTTCTGGAAAAGTTGGTTATCTACTTATCATAGAAAATGGGAAATTTGTATCATAGAAAATGGGAAATATCTACTTTCCGGGAAAGTTGGTTGTCTACTTTCCCGAAAAGTAGATTATCTACTTTTCGTTAAAGTAGATTATCGACTTTTCGGGGAAGTAGATTATCGAATTTTGGGGAAATATTACCTAATTTTCCGAAGTAGATTATCATAGAAAACGGGAAATTTGTATCACAGAAAATGGGAAATTTGTATCATAGAAAATGGGAAATTTCTACTTTCCGGGAAAGTCGGTTGTCTACTTTCCCGAAAAGTAGATTATCTACTTTTCGTTAAAGTAGATTATCGACTTTTCGGGGAAGTAGATTATCTACTTTTGGGGAAATATTACCTAATTTTCCGAAGTAGATTATCATAGAAAACGGGAAATTTGTATCACAGAAAATGGGAAATATCTACTTTCTGGAAAAGTTGGTTATCTACTTATCATAGAAAATTTGAAATTTGTATCATAGAAAATGGGAAATATCTACTTTCCGGGAAAGTTGGTTGTCTACTTTCCCGAAAAGTAGATTATCTACTTTTCGTTAAAGTAGATTATCGACTTTTCGGGGAAGTAGATTATCGAATTTTGGGGAAATATTACCTAATTTTCCGAAGTAGATTATCATAGAAAACGGGAAATTTGTATCACAGAAAATGGGAAATTTGTATCATAGAAAATGGGAAATTTCTACTTTCCGGGAAAGTCGGTTGTCTACTTTCCCGAAAAGTAGATTATCTACTTTTCGTTAAAGTAGATTATCGACTTTTCGGGGAAGTAGATTATCTACTTTTGGGGAAATATTACCTAATTTTCCGAAGAAGATTATCATAGAAAACGGGAAATTTGTATCACAGCAAATGGGAAATATCTACTTTCTGGGAAAGTTGGTTATCTACTTATCATAGAAAACGGGAAATTTGTAATCACAGAAAATGGGAAATATCTACTTTCCAGGAAAGTTGGTTGTCTACTTTCCCGAAAAGAAGATTATCTCCTTTTCGTAAAAGTAGATTATCGACTTTTTGGGGAAGTAGATTATCGACTTTTGGGGAAATATTACCTAATTTTCAGAAGTAGATTATCATAGAAAACGGGAAATTTGTATCACAGAAAATGGGAAATATCTACTTTCTGGGAAAGGTGGTTACCTACTTATCATAGAAAATGGGAAATTTGTATCATAGAAAATGGGAAATATCTACTTTCCGGGAAAGTTGGTTATCTACTTTCCCGAAAAGTAGATTATCTACTTTTCGTTAAAGTAGATTATCGACTTTTCGGGGAAGTAGATTATCGACTTTTGGGGAAATATTACCTAAATTTCCGTAGATTATCATAGAAACCGGGAAATTTTTATCACAGAAAATGGGAAATATCTACTTTCTGGGAAAGTTGGTTACCTATTTATCATAGAAAATGGGAAATTTGTATCATAGAAAATGGGAAATATCTACTTTCCGCGAAAGTCGGTTGTCTACTTTCCCGAAATGTAGATTATCTACTTTTCGGGAAAGTAGATTATCGACTTTTCGGGGAAGTAGATTATCTACTTTTGGGGAAATATTACCTAATTTTCCGAAGAAGATTATCATAGAAAACGGGAAATTTGTATCACAGAAAATGGGAAATATCTACTTTCTGGGAAAGGTGGTTACCTACTTATCAAAAAAAATGGGAAATTTGTATCATAGAAAATGGGAAATATCTACTTTCCGGGAAAGTTGGTTATCTACTTTCCCGAAAAGTAGATTATCTACTTTTCGTTAAAGTAGATTATCGACTTTTCGGGGAAGTAGATTATCGACTTTTGGGGAAATATTACCTAAATTTCCGTAGATTATCATAGAAACCGGGAAATTTTTATCACAGAAAATGGGAAATATCTACTTTCTGGGAAAGTTGGTTACCTATTTATCATAGAAAATGGGAAATTTGTATCATAGAAAATGGGAAATATCTACTTTCCGCGAAAGTCGGTTGTCTACTTTCCCGAAATGTAGATTATCTACTTTTCGGGAAAGTAGATTATCGACTTTTCGGGGAAGTAGATTATCTACTTTTGGGGAAATATTACCTAATTTTCCGAAGAAGATTATCATAGAAAACGGGAAATTTGTATCACAGAAAATGGGAAATATCTACTTTCTGGGAAAGTTGGTTATCTACTTATCATAGAAAATGGGAAATTTGTATCATAGAAAATGGGAAATATCTACTTTCCGGGAAAGTTGGTTGTCTACTTTCCGGGAAAGTTGGTTGTCTACTTTCCCGAAAAGTAGATTATCTACTTTTCGTTAAAATAGATTATCGACTTTTCGGGGAAGTAGATTATCGACTAATTTTCCGAAGTAGATTATCATAGAAAACGGGAAATTTGTATCATAGAAAATGGGAAATATCTACTTTCCGGGAAAGTTGGTTGTCTACTTTCCGGGAAAGTTGGTTGTCTACTTTCCGGGAAAGTTGGTTGTCTACTTTCCCGAAAAGTAGATTATCTACTTTTCGTTAAAATAGATTATCGACTTTTCGGGGAAGTAGATTATCGACTTTTCGGGAAATATTGCCTAATTTTCCGAAGTAGATTATCATAGAAAACGGGAAATTTTTATCACAGAAAATGGGAAATATCTACTTTCTGGGAAAGTTGGTTTCCTACTTATCATAGAAAATGGGAAATTTGTATCATAGAAACTGAGAAATATCTACTTTCCGGGAAAGTTGGTTATCTACTTTCCCGAAAAGTAGA